TCAAAATCGTTACAAACACAATGGTTTGACTGCAATGAATGAACGAATTACCGATCTGGCAACACCATATTCCGAGAATTAACTCCTGTGTTTATCTAACACATTAGGCAGCGAGGAATTTCAGACGCAAACAGTCGTGCGCAGTGACATGTCCCATACGATAAATAAGCTACAACAAGAGATACCATTGAATGTGAAGTCGCCACAAGGACTTACACTGCTAAAACGCATGGTGCAGAAAATGTATTACACTGCTAGAACGCATGGTGCAGAAAATGTATGAATTTCGGGAAATTTTATTTTGGGAATCAGTGTAAAAAATTTTTACAGATATTGAAATCTGTAAATTAGAATATCTGATTCTATATTCTTTCTACATTAAAGGGGCGTTCATTTCGTTCGTTTATCATAAAAAATGTAGAAATCACACCATTTTTAGAAACATGCTTACAATTTCATTGCTCTAGAAGGGTGGGCATTTAAATAAACTCCGTCCAGCTGCCCCTACCGGAAATCAAATGGCCCGTCCGATAAAGGTTAACTATATATGAGGGCTGTCCAAATTTAAAGGTACAGCACCAGATTACATCAGAATATTTATTGCAAAGAAATCTTTAATAAATTCAAGAAATACTATATACTAATATTTATTCTTCCACATAGTCACCATTAGCATTCAGATGTTTATCCCATCGTTTTACAAGTTTAAACATTCCTTCACGACGTTCCTCTCCAAGGGATGTGAAGTATTGCACTATTTGCAATGGAATTTAGTCCTCAAATCTTTCCTGGTAAACAATTCTTAAATGGTCTGAAGAGGTAGACATCTGATGGCACTAGATTAGGACTATGTGGTGGATACCGCAGAACTTCCCATTTCTGCTTCTGCAACCAGGCTTCTGTCTCGACTGAACTGTGAGGTCATGCTGCAACATGCAGAAGCCTTTTTTTTTTTTATTATTATTATTTTTATTCTCTTTGTGGGGGGGGAGTCCAACTGGGTCCACTAGGCATGGCAGCCGCTGATTGGCGTATTGTAGTCTACCTCGGGTGATTATGATGATGGAGAATTTGGTGGAATGAAGTTTGGCAGCAGAAACCTGAGTACTTGGAGGAAACCTGCCCCAGTGCCACTTTGTCCACCACAAATCCCACTTGATGAGACCCGGGATCGAACACGTGCTGCCACGGTGTTAAGCCAGCAACTAACCGCTTGACCTATGGCGCGACCTGCAGAAGCCTTACTCCAGCAGTTCATTGTCCTGATATCTTTTATTTTATAAAAACGCCATAACTCAAGTGGTTAGTCGCTGGCTTCCCACCGCGGCAGCCCGGGTTCGATCCTGGGTCTGGTCAAGTGGGATTTGTGTTGGCCAAAGTGGCGCTGGGGCAGGTTTTCTCCGAGTACTTCGGTTTCCCCTGCCAATCTTCATTCCAATTGCCCCACATTCACCCTCACCTATCATCTGGGGCTGGTACAATAGGCCAGAAGTGGCTGCAGTACAAGGGACTTAGTCCCACCCCACTAGCATTAAAAAAATCATTTCATTTTATGGCTTTATGCAATTTTTTGAGAGTTTCACAGTATTTGTTACTGTTGATTAATGTTTTTGATGGGAGAAATTCACACAGCAGGAGGCCTTCAGAATCCCAGAGCACAGATGGCTGAGTTTTGAATTTTTTTGTAGTGGTTGAATGAGAATGTTACCAAGTGATCGAGTTTCCTTTTGACTCTGGGATGAACTCATAAAACCTTATTTCATCTCCCGTAATGATGTTTGCCAGATTCTATTCTCCATCTTGGTAATGGCAAAGATTTTCAAGTGAAGCAGCCATTATTACTTTTATGCTCCTCAGTCAGCATTTTGCGAACCCAGTGAGCAGACACTTTATGGAAGTTTAAATCTGAAATGACTTCATGACCAGTGCTTTTTGCAGTACTTATCACTTCAACAATATCACAAACTTCGACTCTTTGATCATCCCTTATCAAACCTTTGAGAAGGACACAGTTTGATTAATGTGCAAGGTCCTTGGTCTGCTTCTTTGTTCAGTACTTTTCAGCCATCTTTAAATTGTTGCACCACACAGACACTTCCTTTCAGCTGAAAACATTCCGGCCATAAGCACTCATGAACCTATGATGAATCTTGCTCTGACTCATGCCTTCTGCTGGCAAAAAACTGAGCACTACACAGACCTCAAACTTGGTATAGTTTTCAATCACACTGGCCATTTTATTCGCTTGTAAAGCTTAGACACATCGATGGAGAACAACGACTCTAGGGTGGCTACTTCTCCTTTACCCAACTTACCAATATGTGCAAGTGACATCGAGATGTCCCACGCAGGCCGTATGTAACAAGAATTTGGACCTTTAATATCGACTGGACTGCCCACATACAGTGGACACAACTTAAATGATAACAATAACTGATGAAACAGCAGTGCAGGTATTCAGCATTGTTCAGTGATGCAGAGCAGAAATGTGTGCATAATAAAAAGGGGACAGAAAGAAAATTCAAAATCAAGCTGTGTACGAGGTGTGTTCAAAAAATGACGGGAATTTCCGTATTTTGGAAAAAATATTTATTCATTCGTCTACATTAATGTTGTCGCCTTCAAAATAGTCCCCATTCGATATTATGCACTTACGCCAGCGCTTCTTCCAATCATCGAAACACTTCTCAAACTCGATTTTTGGGATAGCCTTTAGCTCTTTCAGCGATGCGCTTTTAATGTCATCTATGCTTGTAAAACGACGGCCCTTTAAGGTTCTCTTTATTTTTGGAAATAGGAAAAAGTCACACGGAGCCATGTCTGGCGAATATGGAGGCTGGGGCATCGTTACAGTATTGTTTTTGGCCAAGAATTCACGAACAAGCAACGAAGTGTGAGCAGGTGCCACGCGTTTCATACCCAAAACATTCGAAAAAATTTCATGGCATGAGCCAATCGATATGCCAACATCATCAGCGACTTCTCTGATTGTGATTCGGCGATCATTCATAATCATTGCTTTCACTTTTTCCACGTTTTCATCGGTTGTTGATGTGCTGGGGCGTCCGGGGCGCTCGTCATCTGCAACGTCTTCACGGCCATCTTGGAAACGCTTATACCACTCGTAAACTCTTGTTTTACTCATAACAGACTCACCATAGGCCTTTGTTAACATTTCACACACTTTGTAACACTTTATTTCATTTTTTACGCAAAATTTGATACAAATTCTTTGATCCATTTCTTTTAACAAACGAAAATCGCCAAGCTCATAAAAACACGTCTAACCTTAGCGGCTGCCACAGACAAAGTAAGCAATGAATACAGCTGAAAATTTTATTGTACTTCAGGGGCATGTATACCAACATAATAAAAAAAAAATTTTGACAATTGGACTCTCCAAACCCGCGAAATTTTAAAATTCCCGTTATTTCCTGAACACACCTCGTAATACACCTTAAATTGACTCTCCATTATTTATTTGAGAAAGTTATAATCAAAATGAAACTGTCATGATGGTTCTGAAAATATTATGCTCCCATCTATGTCTAGGCCTTTACAATGGTCTTTTTCCTCTTAGCTTTCCACCAAAGCCCTTTACGCATTCCTCTTTGCCCCCATGCATGCAACATGACTTGCCCATCTTATGCTCCTTGATTTAATAATTCTAATTATGCTTCATGAAGGGTACACATTATGAAGTTCCTCATTATTCATTTTCTCCAACTTTCTGTCACTTCATCCCGTTTCAGCCCAAATACTCTCCTTTTCTCAAACACACTCAGTCCATGTTCCTTCCTTAATGTCAAAGACAAAGTTTTGCTCCCATGCAAAACCACAGGCAAAATTATAGTTTTATATGTTCTAATTATTACATTTTTGGATAGCAGATGAGAATCCATACACACCATTAAAAACAAATAACTAAAATATTGAAATGAAAAATTATAAAAAAAACTTTTAAAACTGATTGTCTGTTGTCTGTCCTGAGAGGGTCATTAATGAAATGTTCATATTCACATCAGAGATCAAGAACAAACCTGATGTTAATGTAATTTCTTCCACTTCATATGCACCTGTGCCATGATAACGGAGAAAAGCAGTAACAAAAACTGAAGCACCAATTACAATAAAGTCCTTTTTTCTGTCTACTAGTATACATCTGTTCTGGGCTTCATAACAGTGATATCATTACACAAATACAACCCTTGTCCATAAACTTCCAAAACTAAGTCTGTAAAATATACAAAATTCAACTTGTTAACTAATGGTTCCTGTCCCCTCCACAGTCAATACATTGTTTCCCTGGCCTTGAGAAAAGCGATTATCTTAGTCTTTGACACTGGTGAACCTGTTGACCACCATGCAGCACATTGCTGCTTCATCTGAGGTTCACACTGGAAACACCATGATTCGTCCCCGGCAGTGGTACTGCTGATGAACATGGAATCGTTCTGTGTCTCATGTAACAAATCAGCACATATTGAAGCGCCTTTTGATCCTGACTGCAGGACTAGTCTGGCATTGAGTTTGCATTTACTGAAGTCCTCTTGCAGAATTTGGTGGCAGGTCAACTTATTGATATTCATGACATCAGCTAACATGTGCACTGTAACAGTACAGTCTTCTCGTACTATGTCTTTGATGCGAACCACATTGTCTTCATTCCAGTAACTCGAAGGCCAGCCTGACCTTGTGTTATCCTCCACAGACACCCTGCCTGACACGAATTGCCTGTGCCACTCAAACGCTCATGCCTGAGATAAAGCATCATCTCCATAGGCATCATGCAGAAGCTGCAATGTCTCTGTGGCTGTCTTGCCCAGCTTCACACAAAATTTGATGTGAACTCACTGTTCAGATTGAATGTTCATACTTCTCATAGCACAAATACACTGACAATTGACACAGGTTTTTCCACCACACCCTGCCACCTAGCGGAGGTCAAGAGAATTAACATCAGTAACAGAGGCGAGTCATAAAATGTCCCATAATTAGAACACCTTTTCCCAGAATTGCCCAATATTTACCTAAGCCGAGATATTAAATGAGTCTCAGAACATCATGGACAAAGGTTGTATTAACATTAGCCATGACTACAATAGAAGCTGTACACTGTGTTTTGCTCATTGTATTGTTTTACTCTTAGGTATTAGGAAACTGGTCATGGAGGTTTTTCAGAACATGTGGTTTACACCAATTAGGGAGCGACCCTCACTTGACTCAGCTGCACTTCTGAGGAAAGTGATGAATATTACAGATGTGGTAGCTGCCTCTCGTGACATGGGCCTTGAGTGGTTTGAACAGCTTTTGCTTAGTGTAAGTATATATAACCACAATATATTGCTAGTATTGTGATTGCTAAATATTGGAGAATGAATGGGTGCAGTATTTCTGGTGAATTAGTTTAAGTGACTCGATGTTTTGCAGTGTGTTCATTCTTTGGAAACCAATTCTTACTCCCCTCCCCTTCTTTTTACCAGTCTCCCAACTGTGCTGTTTGATTTTTCTCTTGGTGATGTTAATCCCAACATGTCTCCAAGTACTTCGGTTTTCCCCTGTCAGTTCTCATTCCATGAACTGCTCCACATCCATCAAAACATCATCTGGGGCCGGTGTAATAGGCCAGATAGTTGTTTATGTACCGAGTAGACTCAGTCTCAACCCACCAAAAGAAACTAAATTGAACATAGGTCACATTTTGACTGACACAGAATTTTGTCAGAGACATCACAGTAAAGTAATATATACACATATTCTTCACATTTAAACTGCAACATGGGTCGTGAAACGTTTCAGACTTGTTTGCGAGTCTTGTTCATCTCTAGTAAGACCTTTTGACTGCCAAGCCTCACGTTAGAACTACCTGTTAAGACACATCCACATTACTCGTACTTGTGTGACTCGCTATGCTCACGAGTAATGTGGACAATATGACAAGTCACGAGACAAGCAAATTTTAAATCTTTAATTTAAAAACTATAGCCAATAAATTAAAATATGACTACAGCCTGTACACACTATGAGTAAATATACGGATCATCATGCGCCAAAGCCTGGCTAATAATTGAAGTAGTGTGGACAAAGATTTCCGAGCACAAGTAAAAGCCAGACGAGCACGGGCATGAGTAATGTGGACACACCTTTAGATATACAAATCTGCTTGAGTGTAAATGAAATTTGGGACTGTGTGATGAATGTAATGAAATGAGACCTGCGCTACAAGCGGAAGGCCATAGTTGCAGGAATTACAGGTTGTGTGAATCCCTCTGCATGTCATAAAGAGTTATTATTATGAGGATGATAACTTAAAATGTGTTCATTTGAGTTAAAAATTAAACAGGTAAGGATTTATTACAGTTTATATACCACTAAGGCATGCACATACAGTTTACAATTAAAGAATCATGTGTAGTAGTCATTTCACAACCATTTCTTGCATACGTAACATAAAAAATTTGTATATTTTCCAATCATGGCATATAACACTACCCTTAATACTGCATATTAAAGAGATTTGAACTGATTTCCATCTTGGTCTCTTTCTCTGGTTCGTTATGAGTTGATGTGTTTATTCTCACATATATTCACATACAGGGATTTAGGAGCAAAATGTATGTGGGACTCTAGTGCTTGCAGCAAGTAGTGGGTGGAACTTTTACTTGTAAAGGAAGAGATTATTTAACATTAAGGTAATCTTTAACTCTTCAGTTCAGATATTGCTAACAATGATGAGGATGTTGAATTAGGCTTCTTTTTTTATTATATCCCTGTGATAACCACTCCAAGAAAAAAGAAATATTGCCATACCACATTATGCAAGTAATTCCAGCCTTAAGTGTTGTAGTGTGTTATATGTGATTGGTAGTTAGGGGACTGCCACATAGTTGCATATTTCAAGTATTTTCAGATATGATGAGTGTCTGTTAGAATTGGCATTTTTGTTAATTTTACACATTCTCATTATCTGAAGGTTGTGCTGTTTGTTCTTCAGGTGTTCTTATAACAGTAGCAGGTGTATCCATGGGAAGCTCCTTCTTTTTTCTAAGTACTGATATACCATTTAAGACAATACTAAGACATTGATTTATATTTGTCTGTGGTGGTTTTAAAACAAGTACCTTGAGTCTGCTCAGTATGTAGAGTGCTAAGGATTACTCCAAAAATTATTCTCATTAACTTGAACAAGTGTATTTAGTACAGTTCATCAGATTCATTTGTCATCTTATACTAACTTATTTGTCAGCTTGGTGTTGGGTCGCACTGTTGTATCTACTTGCCACTGGCAGAGTTCCATATACCAAAACAAGAATAAATATCCATATCAGCATGTGTCTTGAAACATTTAATTTCAAAATTATAGGTGAAAGAGTAAATTTTGTAATAAGTGCTCCAAGTGTTCTCCATGCCTTGACATGTCTCATCAGAGACTGCCACATCCAGAGATGCCAGGGTAATTTCAAATGGTCTGACAGGCATCCAAAATGTGATGATGAATTGCCTCTTAACTGTCAACAGGAGCATACACATGGGTTTTTAGGTGCCCCACAGGTAAAAATTAAGAGAATTCAAATTTGGCAAGCATGGAGACCATGCAGTGGGTCCTTCTCTACCTGATAGGTATTATTTAGACCATCTCGCACAACATGGCTAAAATGTGCCAGAGCACTATAACGCATGTACCACATTCATGCTCTGACTGGCAGTGGTGCATCTTCTGTTAGCTGTGACATGTCATGCAAGAGAAACTGTCAGTAGTGGTTGCCTGTAAGCTGATGAGGCAATACATTCTGCCCTACCAAACAGTTATCAACAGTACCCCGGCAAACATAATTCTGAACTGTGTAAGATTTGATTTTTTCTTCTACCCTGAAGATGGAGGCGATACGTTCCTCCAAAACGTCGGTTAACACCACATATACACGGTGCCAAATCCCAGAAGACTGCTTTCTTCATAATTCTGGACTGCTGCTGGTGTCTTGCATAGATTACACCATAAGGATTCTCCTCTACCCACTGGTGTTAGCTGTGAATATTGGTGGTGGCTCTCCTGAAGTGTGTCTCATCTGTAAAGAGCACTGATGAAACAAAGAAATGCTTAGCACTTCATTGGAAAAACACTGACAGAAGTTTGCCCACACTGGAAAATCAGCTATAACTCACAAATTAAATGTTTCCAGACATGTTGATAAGGACATTTTTAATTTTTTGATATGAGGAACTTGTGCCAAAAGTTTGTACGCACCTTTCAGTTACACCCTGTATAGTGACAGTAATTTATATGCATTCCTCTCATAAGATTTATTCTGATAAAATAATATTTCTCTTCCTAGCATTTCTACCAAATGAGCTCAGATTTCATACGGTAAATATCTCAGAAGTATTAGAAAACTTCTAGTTCTTTAACATCTGTTGATGAATAAGTAAACTGTTTGTCTTCTATCCAGTGATGTCTTTTATATCCTTTAATATAAGTGAAGCCACCCAAATATGCAAATGTCCTATGGCTGTCATGGTATGTCAGTGTTGTCATTAGTGGTTGTAGATTGAAAGTAATAAATAATACATTCTCCAGAATTTTATTTTATTTGAAGTTGGTAGTTAATACAAATGTGACTTTTGATATATCAAATATTGTTACTTTCAGCTTTTCAAACCAAAGGAGGATAAAGAAGATTCAACAAAGACAAATGTTGAACCTCCAAAGGCCTTACTGACAGCTTGTAAACAGATAGTGGACTGCCTTATTGAGAATGTGCTAAGGTTAGAAGAGACGAGCCTTGTGCAGGAGGAGCAGAGTCATGGTTCCTCACAGCGCCTAGTGGCATGTCTCACAACCCTCTATCTGTTTGCCAAGATACGGCCTCAGCTCCTGGTGGATCATGCGATAACATTACAGCCCTACCTCAGTCTCAAGTGCCAGGTAGATATACAACATGATGTAGATAACAGAATATGCAGTTGCCTGTAGCCTTATTCTTCAGAATTTGTGGTAAAGCAGGACAAATGAAAATGCTATTGCACACGTTGAATTGTGAGAAGCTTCTGACTGTATGATCGCATATAATTTATAGTAGTGTGGGCAGAAAGGAGCTTATCATCTTCTTTTTGCCTTTATTTTGTCTTCTGCCCTGAAGATGGAGGTAATCTGTTTCTACAAAACATTTTACCTACCTACCAGAATATACAGTGTCATAGCCCAGAAGACCATAATATATTTTCACATATTAGGAGTGACTATAAATGGGGTATGGATTGGATATTGGATTCGTTGACCACTTCTATACATCACTTGGAACTATGCTTTACAGATCACTTACACACAGATTAGTGTCCTCAGTCTATTACAGTTTCCACTAGCCGTTTCCTGGCAGTGGATTTTAACACAGGAAATGTAACAGTCTCACTGAATTACACACTTCACATGTCACACATAGATTCCTCTTCTTGCAGCTGCACTCTTGCAACTAACTCTTTTCCCAGCCTGATTTTCATCTCTTAACTAAGCGCATCCCAGGCTGGTGGCCATTTCACACCAGCCTCCTAGTCTTCTCTTCACAGGCTGATGTTCAGCTGACCTGACAACTGAACTCTCTCACCATCCAGTTACTTCATTTCACTTCACTCAACTGAACTGCCTGACAACTGCAACTTGTGTGGTGTCCTCATTATACAACCTGAGGGCAGACCTAACAGACAACACTGCCTCCTGCAGTTCTTTTATTGTCATGGGTGGTTGCCTGGTGATAGACTGGATATTGTTTTCACAGGCACGTGTTTACTGAGCCGTTGATTATAAACAGGTGTTTATCTGCCCGTTGCGTCGCAACTGCTCTACTTGTCTGTTTCTAGTTTCTAGTCTCTCTTTGAAAGTTTTTCTCGGTGCCTCTGGGAAAATGCCAGCATAGTACCTCAAGTAGGCTGTGATCAGTCCCGTCGAGATCCTTTCCAGTTTAGTGTTCACTAATTCCGTGTTATTCTTTACCAGCCTTTAACTTCTTCATTTTAATTTAAAATTTAACTCTCATATATGTATATTCTTGTGTATCTTACCAGTCACAAATGAGCAAATGTGCCAGCATTATATGCTATAAGAAGAAGGTTGCTCTAGTGGGAAATAGAGTTATATTCAGAATCACAGCTGGGTTATCAGGCATTGCAGTTTTTTCTTGCTTGAACTATGCAAATGACTGTATAGAATCATTAAGTAGGTAATAACTGCCTCCTTTCCAATCTCTACCTACTCACCATTTGTGTTCCTCGTCCCTCATTCAACACTGTACAAGCTCTTCATTTGAAATGTCTTCAGTAACTCATGGTTTTGTTCTAAAGTAAAATTTCCCCAGTGGATGTTGAATAGGTGACATGAGCATCAGGGGCATTCCAGAGAGGTTTCCCAGCACTTCCCATCAGCTCAACTGTAATGCATTTTTCTACCATTGGATCCCTGTTGGAGAATGGCTGCCCTGACAGGTCTTGATGTTGTTTCTTCTCTGTCCCACCAGAATAAGCACGGTGCAGGACAGCTTTTTCCCACATCTATCCTCGTTCTCATTCAAAATCATCATACCATATCTAATTTTGCCCTCTATAATCTTTGTATTGCCAGTCACAGTGGCCACGAGGTCTAAGGCTTGAAATATCTTCACCTGCTTTAACACTGCGATTATGGGTGCAAATCCCACTCAGGGCATGGATGTCTGTGTTTATTCGGTATTTGTATTAGGTAGCATCCTTCTGACAGGCCGATCCTCTGTCCAAGGAGTCCTGCCGACTGTCTTAGATTAAGAAACTGAAGTGAAACGAAGCATTTCACAGATGCCCTATGCTCCAAGTGGGAGCAATAGGAATAGAAGAGGAGTAATGACAATAATAATAATAATAATAATAATAACAAAAACAACAACAATAATAATAACAACAACAACAATAATAACAACAACAACAACAACAAAAACGATCTTTGTATATAATGTAACTTCATAGAACACTTCAGTAAATGACAACAAACCCCTGACCATTCAACAGAGTTGTTGTTACCTCATATTTTTATAAAAAGACTTTCTTTTTAATATGTTAGTCCATAATTAATAGTATAAATAATTTACCATTTACAGTACGCTTACACTGTTTAAGGTTTCTTTGTAGAACAGTAAGTTTCAACTTTAAACTGAGGATGGTCTCAAATAAAGGAAACTTAATGTTGAGAGTACTGGCTTAGGCTCAGTAGAATTAAATCTTAAATGACTGAAAACATTGAAAAGAGTTCCACTGTATATTGTATCTTTATATATAATGCTGTATGAGAAAAGTATGTATTTCATAAATAAATTTGAGACTTTTTCTCAATGAATGAAAAATGATGGTATGCAGTACTTATAGTTCATAACGATAGTTTGTTTTATGTACCTACCTTCTGAATTCATGACTGACTAATTTAATTTTACATTTACAACAGCAATTGCATGTCAGTCATGTGGATTCTTTATTGAAATGGTAATTTATGATTTATTGAACTGTTCACAGACACAGGGAGATTACCAGATCATCAGCAGTGTTGCTCGAACTTTGGAGTTGGTTGTCCCTTTGATGGAACACCCAAGTGAAACATTCCTTGCTCAGCTGGAAGAGGATTCTGTTAAACTGATACTACAGCATGATCGAACAGTTGTGGCAAGCTGCCTCTCCTGCTTGGGATCAGTGGTCAATAATGTGACACGAAATTTCAAGCTTATAAGAGACTGTTTTCTCAAGTATTATGGTAGGAATTGAAACTTTAATACTAACACTGTTCAGCAAAGTGTTTGTCACACAGATGTTTTTACAAAAGTGAAAAAACAAATTTTCTGTCACTCATATTTTTTTTAGTTATGCATGAATTTAGATTAGAATAGGAAGTGCAGGGGTTTACTGCTTCCTCTCCATGGCTGCTTTGTAAGATTCTACATGCCACTGCTTGCATTTTCATGTTTAATGCACATTAATACAAATTCATATTTCTCACAACTTGCACATTGACCAAGTTGTCAGTTGAGAACTTCTTTATTTTATTTGAGGTTTTTCTTAATTGCTAGAAATTCATGAATGTTTCACCTTTTTGTGTGAATGCTTGTGTATGCTTGAATACTGCATAATTCCATGAACCCCACCAGTCAGCTTGTCTTGTGTTTGCAGAGAGTTATGCTTTCCATCTTAGAGGTTAATTTTAATCCTCTGTCCAGAATTGCATGTGAAATTTATTTTGTTCATAAGGTAGGGAATCAGGACCTCGTATTTACTGTATAACACAATCAAGATTTCTGGTGAACCATTTCAGTGGGTCTTGACAAATGTCATTTGCTGTTCTCATGATACAGACAGACTCGAAAGACCATTTAACAGATTGGTGTTACTTGCAAACACATACAGAAAAGCTTAAACATGTTGTATGACACCCAGATTTATCATCAGCTGTGAAACCTCTTTTGACGGTCAAGGTTATCCATTGCTGAAGCCACAGGATATGTGAAATGCAGCTACAGTAAATCCTCACTAATCTGGAGTAATCAGGGGGAGAAGTCATCTAGATTAACCCGTTGCCGTGGTTCGTCGTGTATGTTTCGTCAGGGATTTAAATCGTCTGGGGGGGTTCGACGTGTATGTTTCGTTCAGCTGCACACCTATGTTATAACGCCCATAATAATTGATGGTTTTGCTGTAGATTGTTAGATTTTTCGCTGGCCTGTTGTCAGTAGAACAGAGTATAAATAAGACACGACTTTATCTGTGCCAAGTCATCGTTACATATGCCTGTCTTGCAGCAAAGTTCCTGTGGTTCTGGCGAGCGGTTTCTAGCTGTACTCTTATGAAGGCGTGTTTCCTTTGCTTCGAAGATATAAACAGAAGAGACGTGATGTTTACTGTTGTATATGATATCATATTACCCTGAGCTGGCCACATTGACACACTCAACTGAAATTCTTAGAATAGGGTTGTCCAGTAATTTATTCTCGCATTATCCATTGATTTCGCACAGTACAAAGGCCCAGTTCTGAGAAAAACGCCACAATTTAAGGCAGAACACTGTGGTCACCCCCTGAGACGATACGGATGTGTGTGGGGGAGGGAAAAAGAACTCATTCCTTCATGTATTATCGCTCAAGTTGACGCCATTTTATCGTACTGACCTTGGTGGTCGTTTCGAGGGATGACCATAAATATTTTTTTGAGCCAGCTAAGCTCTACTTTCGTTCACTAGATACCAGACAGTTCTTAGAATAACTTCATGAATTCTGTGGTCACCCCTACGACATCTCCTGCCGCCAAAATGGATGGAATATCAAAGGCATAGCAACAACCCCTTGTTATGATAACTCGTAACGTTGAATTTACTACAGCTGACCTGGCAACTAAACGGGTCACGGAAAGACATTTCCTTGAAGTATACCCCTCACGGGTAAGAAGGCAAGGCCGCACATATGTGTGGTTAAAAAAAAGGGCCAAAAAAAATACACAATATTGGAGCGGAGAATGGTGAATGTGAGGCACCGTTGGGTTATACGAATGCTTCAAGGCCTTCCTTCTACTAAACCAACTGCCTCCATTACCGAGATACAGGGCGCTCATATTATAAGGTAAGGTTATAAAAACCATCTTTTAAGATCATTTTAGTGAAAGTTTCATGCTTCAAGGCGTACCATTCACTGCTCAAATACTAAAAAACCTGCTTCCATTGAAGATATAAAGGGCGCTCATATTATAAGGTAAGGTTATAAAACCACCTTTTAAGATCATTTTAGTGAAAGTTTCATGTTCCTATCTCATAGAATTTAAGAACAATGATGAATAAATCATTTTCGAGCAAAATTTAAATGGCCGGCTGAATATATTACCGCAGGAGACGCAGCCGCGGAATTTAAATTACCGCGTCAAAGGGTTAAACAATAAGCTGGATTAGTGATGCAAAACATAGCTTAAAGGATAAAAGAACCTAAAACACAAATAAATGGAAAATTCAGTTATATAAGTAGTCCCAATTAAAATAAATGAAAAATCGCTGTAGAGCCTTTATTTAAAAACTGTAAAAAGATACATTTGTTCATCGATAGAAGACTCTGAAATTGTTCTATAATAAAGCAGGTTTGACTAAACAGACAAGTGACTCGTTTGCCTTTTTAAATGCCAGTTGTGTTTTAAAGTAAATAGTCAACTGCAAACATTATTTGTCATAATTTAATCAAGATTATCCAGATTAACTGTGACTGGAATATTCACGGTTTACTGTAGTTACATGAAGGCGTTATAAAATTCAGTGATGGCCAGGTCTAACGTGATACTGACAGAAAGAGATCCATTATTGATGCAGTGTTTGAACCATCTTGTACATCGGCTGAGCCAAGCAGAAGTGAACAATCTTGTCCATGATCTGAATCTACTATAAAAGCAGTCTGAAATTTTGACTTCCACATTGAGTTGTTGGAATCATCTGGGGAAATAGCCAATAAGAAATCTGTGTTCTTCCCTCCAGGAAGGCAGTTCATTGTGCTGTAATAATGCGAACTCTTTCTTGAAAGCCATTACCACCAATATGACAGAAACAAGTGGTGTCTATTTATTGATTCCTTGAAGCTTAGTTTGAAAGCCATATTGTTCTATAATGGAAATGAATACCCTGCAATTCCCATGCCACTTATCATTCTTGTGAAAGAATCATGTGACAGTGTGCACCTTCTTATGAAACATCATTATGATAAATATTCTTGACATAACTATGAAAACTTGAAAGGGATTGCACTTCATGGTTTCCCAAGTGAGCTATATGAAATCCTTTTCTCTGTGACAGGGAAATGAAAGAAACAAGTGAAAAGTTTTTTTTAACCTTCAGTTGATACAGAAACATTTTCTTCTGCCACTGCATAAGAAACTTTGTTTAATGATAGTTTTGTTAAGGGTATGTATCAGAATGGCACAGGGTTTCTGTACTTGAAACCAAAATTTTTCAGGATTAGCAAGGCCAAAACAATGAAGGGATATTTATTGGCTTGCAAATTAGAAAAGTCATGAGTAACATCCTATTTAATGAAACTCAAATAAGGTTGAAGGGGGAGCTTGGAGGACATTTAAAGCAGTGACTACCAATTTCCTTGGAATCTTCAAACAGAAAATTATGAGTCACTTATTGGGGGAACTTTCCAGTGCCTACATAGTCATGGGATGCTAATAGCCATTGCAGTTTCATTTTCTGTACACATATATTGACTTTTCCAGTAACTTGGGTGCTCTTAGTGATGAGTATGGGGGGAGTGTGAAAGTGATACCAGAGCAGGTGGAGTCCCAGCATGTTAGCTAACTACTGTCAGGTGTTTGTAAGGAATTCCCCAGAGGGTCATTTCAGGTGAGTTCATTATGTATTTTCTGTTTTAGTATTCTTATTTTGTCTTTGAATTAGTCCAATTTTCATTTTCAGCACATTCAAAATTTGTGGGTGTTCAACATATGTCAAGGTTATTTTTAACACTATACAGAACCTATCAAATCTACCCATTTTTATACATGTGCCAAATTTTTTCATGCAGTGTGATGGTGAGTACTGATGTTCACTTGTACCTGCAGTACTGTTTTTTCCATTCCCTTACCCCAGTATTTAATTCAGTTCACTTTATGTTGCTTGCAGTATTGTCACACATTAGTGGCTAGAAACGGGGTTTGGATTGGTAATTGGATGTATTGAACACTTATAAATCTTAACTACAGGTAACTGTAACAGTTTCTCATATTTACATACTGTACTGCAGCGCAAGGAAAGTCTTCTATGTCATAATGAGACACTGATAGGTGACTGTTCCAGTAATGGAGATTCTTCTGCTCTCATGGTGTGTCGTTGCCATCTGGCTACCACCTCATAGCTCCTCATGGCCTCAACTCCTAGCCTTGAATAGCCATTGCTGTCTTAACACTGGCTCTCAAGTCCTCATGACTTCAACTAACTTGCATGAATGGCTCCTGTATAGCCTTGGCACTGACTGCATAGAAAACACCATTTCCAACAGTTCCTTCATTGCTGCTGATATGTTGGCAAGCCATTGCAACACAGTGACCATTGTTTAAGTAGTCATGTTACATTGCTTCCTCCTTAAAGCTGCTTGTCTCAAGTAGCCTGTAGGCATATCACCATTTCTTCTTCTGGACTATGGTATCAGAACTTCTGGAAGTGCCCAATGCTCCTACAGCTGTGGCACTTAAGCTGTCAGTAGTCTCTTCTTTCATCGAGGAAGGGGCTGGCTCCTCCACAATGCCCTGTCACTTGTTTTCTGGAGCCTGATGGAAGACCTGATTGCTAGCTTTATGACTTCCAGCTCAAGGGTCTACCTTAGGGCCTCCCAGAAATAGCTCCCATGTTCTGCTTCATTCTCTTATGCTGTTAGTGAATGTCTTGCCTGTTTCCCTATGAACATGTCCTTATGTGGTGCGGGAAAGATACAGTATGTCGCATCTTGCAGGGCAGTGGAAAACTCGTGAATGGACCCACCAATTATTACAATCTGTGTTTTGAGTTGATTTCAGGACCCTATGGCCAGGTGCTGGTCCCCATATTGGTTCTCAGTTGCCCCTGTGGGGCAACCTTTGGGGGTCTACATGTTGAACATCAGAAGCCCTGTGGGGTGGTAAGCACATGCATGGCTTTTATGCATGATGCCCAGTTATACTGGTCCACCACGGACTTTGTCTTGACAGGCCTTCATCACTTCTAAGTTGGAGTCTCTCTTCGCCACCATCCTTTCTTGATGGGCTTTTTATCTTTTCATGTGTGGCGTCCACTATTGCCAAGATTCCTCTCATCTTGACCTGCAGGCATTCTAGCGTTTGTTCCATTTTTGTAGTAAGATGATCTAACTGTCTGATGCGGTCTTAAGTCCAATGATTCAGTCGATCCTATCCTACTTCTCACACCAGTTGCCACATGTTAGTGACTAGACATGGCATTTGGATTGGTAATTGGATTTAATGAACACTTATAATTCATAACTGCAGGTAACTGTAACATTTTCAAGGATTCTACATATCAAAATACTGCAGCACACATTATATACTTGTGTCTTCACCACGTGTTGCTAGGTAATGGTGCCCAACAATGGAGATTCTTCTGCGCTCATGCTTGTGTCATTGCCGGCTGGATACCATCTCACATCTCATGGTCACGACTCCTAGCCGTGATTAGCCATCACTGTCTGCCCACAGACTGGCGGGGCTCTCAACTTCTCATGGTCACAACTAACTGAATTACATTGACAGCCTTCACTGTGTAGCCTTGTCATGGACCTCGTAGGAAACACGTTATCCAGCAGTTCCTTTGTTGCTGCTGATGTTTCAAGCTGTTTCCTAGAGATGGTTCACTTGTTAATAGAGCCATTACCATGCAGCAGAAAGTGTTTAAATAATCACATCACAGTATTCTTAAAGTTATGTCAAGTTTGTGGACATGAAGGAAAGTATTGAATTGCCGCCATATGGAGTTTTGAAACAAAATTAATAAATGTTTCGTAAATTAACATGAGATTAATTTATCTACTTTTGAGGTTAATTACAGTGTGATGATAAGATCATATGAGTCATATATGCATGAAAGAATATTTTAAAAATGAATATTGAAATTGTAATGCAACTCAGAAGTCATAGCTTTGTGAAGAACTGTAACCTTTTAGTACAGAAAATATCAGAACATTGTCTGTGTGGCTTACTTCATAAATCCCTGCCATCAGTCTATGTGCCTGTACGTGTATCTTTTCTACCATTGCTAGGCAAGGGCTGGGTAAAGTGTATTCCTCCTCTCATTACTAGGCAACAGCTGAGTAAACAAGTTTCCGCAGCAACAAACATAAGGAACAACGGAAGAATTGTTGGACGCATCATTTACTGTGCAATCCATGTCTTTACAAAGGAAAGTAGGTGACTAGTTGTTCTCACAACTTGTTGTTCTAGCCTGCTTTACTGATTTAAAAAAAACGGCTTACGAGATTGCCTTGCTTTGTGTCTGCGTGTGTGTAAATATGTTCCTGCATCAGTGAATAAATATTGGAGGTGTCATTTTCTATGCAGTCCATATTGTACCAAAGGAGAGTAGGTGGTTGGTTCTTTCCAGAAGTTCTTGTTTTAACCTTTCCCCATTATGAAAAAATAAAAGGAGGCTAATGAGATCACATTACTTTGTGTTTGTGTGCGTTCCCCCATTGTTGCTAGGCAACAGCTCAGTAAACACATTCCTGTGCCAGCGAATATACATCCTAGAATAGAAGAAACATTGGATGCACCATTCTCTGTCTGGTCTCTGTTATATCAGGAAAACAGGCAATTAGTTCTTCCCAGAACATCTTGTGTTACAGTGAAATCCCAATTTAATATTTCTCATTTTAAGTGTTTCCCTCATTTTGGTTTCAATTTAAGTGATCCCAGGCCATTAATCTCAGCATTAAATTTCCTTTATTTAAGAGTTTTGTCAGTATAGTATTCAGATCCACTGCTATCCATAGGAATGTTGAATATTTACTGACATCTTTATATTTCAGGGTTTCTAAGGGACTACAGAAGGGATTATGAGAAAGATCCAACATTACCTGTGCTGGTTAAAAGCCGTCCATTTTTCCGAAGAGCTCTTTTCACAGTTGGACTTCTGTTGAGGCACTTCGATTTTACAGACAAAGATGTTATACAGGGACTAGAAGTGAGTTTACATTTATTATATTACCATGCTTGTAATCTTACACTGTAAGTATATTGTGTTTGTGGTATTGGTTTCTGTTATCAGACTTTGTCACTAGGGAATTGTTGATACTGTTGAAGATACCAGCATGTTTAGTGGACTAAGGGCAAGTGGTTTTGAAACATTCATTTTGCTTGGCTCATATAACTTTTGTTACTGAATTTTGAGGAACATTTGACAAATAATCAAGCATAGAAGTACGTGAGAAATGTGATATCAGAAATTTTCATCATTCCTCTCTAAACTGCATCAGAATGTGACTTTTAGCAGAGCATATATTTTTATCTGTCTTCTTTCTTTCTTTCATTCTCTCTTTCTCATATACATAATACAGTAAAACCTGTCTTAAACGGAACCTCAAGGGTCCAGAACATCTTTCGGTTGAAGCCAGGTCTCCATTTAATCAAGGTATACTATAATAATTAAATCAGGACATGCACAACATATTTGTGACAAAATAAAACACCATGCTCATTAATTTATTCACACTATAATCATGGAACACATACAGACATTACAGTGAACAGAAAAAAGTTGCAGTACTCACTTTTTATAATTTTACCAGAACTCAAGCAGAGTTTTTGCACACAGTTTACTCTCTTGGCTGCCTGACTTTCCACAAACACTTTAGCTTGAGAAGTTACACTACGCATGGGCTGCACCATAGCTCAAGCGGTTAGTCGCTGGCTTCCCACTGCGGCAGCCCGGGTTTGATCCCGGGTCTGGTCAAGTTGGATTTGTGGTGGACAAAGTGGCACTGGGGCAGGTTTTCTCTGAGTACTTCGGTTTCCTCTGCCAATCTCCATTCCACCAAATTTTCCATCATCATAATCACACGGGGCAGGCTACAATAGGCCAATCAGTGGCCGCTGTGCCGAATGGACCCAGTTGGACTCCACCCCCCACTAAGTGAATTAAAAAAAAAAAATAAAAAAAATAAATTACATTAAGTATGTCTGAATCATTCCATTGTATGACACATGGTGATGTTTTACCCTTACACTGACGAACCACTCCCACACTATTTCATGAATGTCTTCGTTTTCAGTTTTCTTAAGTTCTCTTTTTATTTTCCATTAGCACAATTTTCGCACTGCTTCAGAATTTCCCTGTTCTTCTTTAGAATCTCATACATTTGAGTTTTACCAACATTAAACATCTTCATTATCTGCTTAACAGAGAATTTATCTCGCTCGTTTATATGAATCACTTTTACTCTTGTGTTAAGATAAAGCACAACTCTTGTCTTTGTAGTCGTGATGAAAACTGCTAGGCTAAAGTAAAAATGTAGTCCTAGAGCCCTTACTCAGTAAAATTTCTGGAAGGGGCGAACAGTTCAGTTGAATTTCAGTGCAGGTAGTGCAGCACCATTAAAAGCTGAATTGAAAGAGTTAGAGAAAACAAAATTCTGTAGAATGTATAGGATGACTAGAATTCTTCTAAACTATGCATTCTAGAAAACTAGAAATTTTCCATATAAAGGCTTATTTTGATTTCCATCTAATACAGGATATTTAACATCTTCAGCCACAAAGTTGTGGGACCTGAAAATATTTCCATTTAAGACAAATTCCTTTTAATATAGCGTCCTTTTAAGGCAGGTTTTACTGTATATATGAAAACGTATTGTGGTAGCAAAGAATGTCGATCTCAAGATTTGATGGATTTACATGTTTTGAACCCCCTTGAATATGTAAAAGTTGTTTCTGAAATTCCAACTTCACAAAAACAGCAGAATGTCAGGTTTCTCAGTTATGGCTCTAAAAGTTTTAGTCAAACATCAGTAATTTGTGGAGGTCATATCCCTAAATAAAGCTGCATAGGAGGTATTTTTGGTGGACTAATGTGCTGTAGGGGCCCAAATGGAAAATGTTGATTTTGTTGAAACCATCTTTACTGGTTAGACGGATTTCACTGTTGTTCAGTATTCAGTAACAAACAGTTGTTCAACAAGCAACAACTGATTATGTTTGCAAGGTAATGTAGTCAGAGTCAGTCACATGTGGAATAAAAAGAGGGAACATCTGAAAGACAGAATTTATGAGCTTGCAATGGACTGTAAGAACAAGAACAATGGAGACATGTACAGAGGAATAAATAACTTTATGTTGGGTTACCAACCCAGAAGTAACTTAGTGAAGGATGAGAATGGTGATCTGCTTGCAGATTCCCACAATATTTTGAATAGGCGGAGGAACTACTTCTTTCAGTTATTAGATGTACATAGGGTCAGTGATGTTAGGCAGATAGAAATGGACACAGCTGAGGCGTTAATACCTGATCCCAGCGCTTTTGAGGTTGAAATTGCTATTGCAAAATTGAAAAGGTATAAATCACCCAGTAGTGATCGAATTCCAGCAGAACTTGTTCAAGCAGGAGGCAAATTTTACGTTCTAAGATCCATAAGCTAATTATTTCTATTTGGCATAAAGAAAAATTGTCTGATCAGTGGAAGGAATCTATTATTGTACCAGTTCACAAGAATAGTGATAAAACTGACTGTAGTAATTATCGAATGATATCACTGCTATCAACTTCATACAAAATTTTATCCAGTATTTTTCTCTCAAGGTTAATTCCATACATAGATGAAATTATTGGGGATCATCAGTGTGGGTTTCGATGTAACAGATCGACTACAGATCAGATCTTTTGCATTCATCAGATACTGGAGAAAAATGGGAGTACAATGAGACAGTACATCAGCTATTTGTAGACTTCAAGAAAGTGGAAGTTAGGAAGGAAGTATTGTACCGTATTCGATAGAATTAAGCCTGTTAAAATGTGTTTAAACGAAACTGAGTAAAGTCCGTATAGGTAAACATTTATCTGATAAACTTCCTATCCAGAATGGTCTAAGACAAGGAGATGCTTCATCACCACTCCTTTTCAACTTTGCTTTAGAATATGCCATTAAGAAGGTTCAGGAAAACCAGGTGGAACTGAAATTAAACGGGACACATCAGCCGTTCATCTATGCCGATGTTGTGCGTCTACTGGGTGATAATATAGCTACCATAAAGAAAGACACTCAAACTTTAATTGACACAAGTAAGGAGGTTGGTCTAGAAGTAAACACAGAGAAAACTAAGTATATGTTGCTGTCTCATCACCAGAATGCAGACAAAATCATAACATGATAGGAAACAGATGTTTTGAAAATGTGTCACAGTTCAGATATATTGGAATGACGGTAACAAATCAAAACCTGATTGAGGAGGAAATTAAGAGGAGATTGAACTCGGGTAATGCTTGCTACCATTCAGTCCAGAACCTTTTGTCTTCTTGTCTGCTGTCCAAAAACATAAAAATTAGAATATACAAAACTATAATTTTGCCTGTGGTTCTGTATGGGTGTGAAACTTGGTCCTTGACATTAATGGAGGAACATAGACTGAGGGTGTTTGAGAACAGAGTGTTGAGGAGAATATTTGAACTGAAGAGAGATGAAGTGACAGGAGGTTGGAGAAAACTGCACAGTGAGAAGCTTCATAACTTGTACTCTTCTCTGAGGTGAGGGTGAGGTGGGCAGGCCATGTACCAGGAATGGGGGACATTGAATGCATGTAGGATATTGGTGGGAAAGCCAGAAGGAAAGAGACCACTGTTAAGACCAGTAGATAGGTGGGTGGACAATATTAAAATGGATCTTAGAGAGAGAGAGGTTGGAATGGATTGGATTGATCTGGCTTAGGATAGGGACCAGTGGATGGCTCTTGTGAGCACGGCAATGAACCTTCGTGTTCCATAAAATGCTGGGAAATTCTTGAGTAGCTGCAGATTTGCCTTCTCCTCAAGAAGGTCTTAGCTCCATAAGTAAGTAAGCATAAATTTTCTACCCTCTGTGTGAATTAAAAGATATATTTTCATTCTCATGCCAACACTTCAATAAGACTTCAGCTTAACCATAGTGCCGCTTTGAAAAGTAATTCCTCGCCGTATTTTGAATTGTCCCCATATGAATTGCCACAGTGAAAAGCAGTAACGTATTTAATCTGTGGAGACAAGAAGAATCAGAAAATTAAAATATTTACACATCTACACCATACTTGTTGCTTTTAAGAACAACAGCTTAGACCTTGCATTAAAAATTTTACAGACTATGATATTTTAAAAATTATTATTTATGCCTACTATGTTTTCATTCCTTTTGCTTCCAGAAATGTCTGAAAATTATTTTTTTTTGGTGCAGAGTAGGCATTTGGTAGAATTTCAGGAATTGAGATGAGAACGAGAATTTTCTCTACTAGACCAAATTTTCCACTGTAATTGCAATTTTTCACACTGCACCAAAGTATCCCACTTACCAATTTTGGTATCATATCCATTTTCAATGAGAAATATTACCAAACCATTATATTTAAAATATTCTTCTTCACCTTGTGCAGAAATGGAGAGTAAAATTGTATAGACAAATTGATGGCATGGATAGTTCAGATGTTGCTGGTCAAGGTAAAAAAAAAAAAAGAAAGAAGAGCAGTTAACTGAAAATTCTGGATGTTAAAGATTGAAAAATCGAGGTCTAGATTCTTTTCTCAATTTTGTCATGAAAGTTTGAGTCTCACACTTATGGATTTCATGCAAAGTGATTTGGAATCCATTAGCTGTTTGTGCACAGATATATTTCTGACAGTTCATAAGAATGCCTGTGGAGGACAGTCATATGTGTCCTGTTTGAATGTGGTTAGAATAGGCAAGAAATGAAAGAACATGACAGGTATTAAATATACATACATACATACATACATCAGTGTTTCCGAGTATTGATAAGTGTGCAACTGGCACTGAATATAAAACTTGTCAAACAACAGTCACAAGACAATCACAGATAAAATCACAGGTACATCAATTCAACCATAGTTAAAATCTAAACTGAATATCAATTAAATAAATACAATGTTACACATACAATTACACCAACAAGATAGTTAGCAGTAAATAATAATTCACCTTCCTACTCATATATACATATGCATGCAATGAAGAACTATAGTTGTCAGATATTTAGATATAAATTGCACAGTAATATAATGAAATATACCTAAATAAGCATATTTCTGTCTATAAATCCTTAAAAGTAAAAATTCATCAACTGAATAAAACAAATTATTGATTAAAATTTCTTTTAGTTTTCCTAGGAAAAGTTTCCTCTCTTGTACCAAATCTCCTACATAGAGAGGCAAACTGTTGAAAATTTTAACACACATATAATAATAGTATAAAATTTAAGAACTCTAAATTTGAAAACTTTAAAAATGACATAAATATTGTATTTGAAGCCTTAAACAGATGGTTTGAAGCCAATTTACTCTCATTAAATTTTGATAAAACCCATTACATATCATTCACAACTAAAAACAACCACCAAATTGATCTGGACATCAGTTATGCCAACAAATTAATCTGTAAAGTACTTGATACAAAATTCCTTGGAATACATGTAGACAGTACACTGTCTTGGAAAATACATATTGAACAAATTATACCTAAATTAAATGCAGCTTGCTATGCGATGAGATCAATTAAGCCTTTTATGTCACAGGAAACATTGAAGATGGTTTACCATGCCTACTTTCATTCTATTATGAACTATGGATTAATATTTTGGGGGAACTCTTCACATAGTGTAATAATTTTTAAAATACAAAAGAATATAATTAGAATCATTACAGGATGTAGAAGTAGAGATTCATGTAGAGAATTATTTAAGAAATTAAAAATTCTACCTCTTCAATCGCAATACATATTATCGCTTCTCTTATTTGTTGTTTACAACAAAGATAAATTCAAATTAAATTCTGATGTCTATAACATGAATACTAGACAAAAATATAACTTCCACCTACCCTCATCAACTTTATCAGTATATCAAAAAGGAGTCTACTTTACTGGCATAAAAGTGTTCAACAATCTGCCACAAAGTATTAAAAACTTGGGCAATGATACTAAAAAGTTTAAATCAGAGTTAAAGAATTATCTACATGCTCATTCCTTCTACTCTTTAGATGAATACTTCAATGTAAATAGAGAATGATGTAAAATTAAGTTATATTAATTTTTAAGCTAAAATTGCCTGTACTTATGTATGTAACCTTTTGACTTGTTCTGTATCCAAAGGTACTAACCCACTTAGGATTTATAAAATGTAAATAAATTCAGTTCAATTCAATAATGTACAGACCAGACATAGCAATAATTTATATCCTCCTACCTCCTCCCTAACATTGTATGAAAATGGCGTTTACTATACTCGTATTAAAATGTGTAATAAATTACTACCTGAATTAAAAGTAAAAGATCTTGTACAGACGCCTACAATTTTTAAGGGTTCCTTAAGAAAATATTTGAATTTGCATTGTTTTTATAAACTGGAGGAATTTTATTGTATGAATGGTTAATATATTTTTTTGTTTAGCATTTCACTTCTATTGTAATTGTATTCAGTTGTGTTCAATGCCTGTGTTATGTATATTTCATATTATAATTACCTTGACTTGTTCCAGTAATTAATTGGAACGTTTGTTCTGATATGTGACTCATTCTATATCCAATGTTTTCTGAATTTATTTCCCAACCTGTATCTGGATCTGCTTGAATTTGAAATAAATTGAAGTGAATTTGAATGGGTACTATATACTGCTGAGATATATTAATTCATATTCTTTGTTGAAGGATGATATCAAGGACCAAGTATGTGACACATTGGCATACTTTGTACAGCAGCCCAATGAAGACATTCAGTTATTCACATTGAAAGCTATTGGTTCTTTGTGTATACGTCACTACGATTTCATGCTTGGGCTTGAGCTGAAGACACTGTATCATCGTCTCCTTACTGAAGATGATGCCCCTCTTCATATGAGAACACAGGTGAAATATCTCTTTAATTATGCAGATATCTGTTATCTAGAGCATTTGTTCTAGAGCATTTGTTCTAGATCTCTTCCACCTGGACAATGTGAAAATTGCTGAGGGTTTTGCAGATCACTTGGGGATTTCTCTGCCTGTTCAACAATTGTAATGGAGAGTGTTGTGAATGCTGAAAAATTTTAAATAATCATATGGAATTTAAATATTAGTATTCTCATGATTTTAGAGTGACTATAGATGGAGTTCGGATTGGGAATCAGATTTATTGCACACTTGATTACTACACTCTGCGAATCCCTATAGGACACACTAGATCTTCTCAGCCTGCTCTGTCTTCACCAGTCTTTCCCTGGTGAAGGGTCCAGACAGTGACCTCTGCTACTATGCTCATATTCTTACCAGCTTGCAACTGTCTCACAATTAACTCATTGCTCCAACTGTCAACTCTCAACTTACTGATTTCACTTCACCCACTCCACTGACTGACTGAACTCAACTGACTCACTAAATATTTTTTTTATTGCTAGTGGGTTGAGACTAAGTCCCTTGTACTGCGGCCACCTCTGGCCTATCGTACCAGCCCCAGATGATAGGCGAGGGTGATTGTGGAGCAAATGTTGGAATGAAAATTGGCAGGGGAAACCAAAGTACTCAGAGAAAACCTGCCTGAGCACCACTTTGTCCACCACAAATCCCACTTGACCACACCCGAGATCGAACCTGGGCTGCCGCAGTGGGAAGCCACTGACTAACTGCTTGAGCTATGGCGCAGCTGACTCACTAAATAACTGTCCTGCTTATAATATCTCAGCATGGACCACACAGAAAACACCGTTCCTCTTATGCTGTTTATGGGCCGTTGCCCGTACCATCAGTCCTCACTCAGCCAGCGAGGTCGGCCTCCACTGGCTCAGAGGTATCTCGATGCTTCCCCCGTCTGCCAGAGGCGTTAGAGACTATTGTTGGGCGGGAAATGTCCTTAATTTAGCTCAGTGGCCTCCTTTGGAGACATGAGGTTCTTTTATGTGCCGTAAAGCTATGACACGGGACGCACGGCTTAAAGTCCCTCCCGGAGGACTTGTTCCCTGAATTTTTCTGCCGTTAAAAATTCCACGGCCTCCACCGGGTGTGAACCTGCGTACCTTGAGTCATGAGGTGGGAACGTTACCCCTAGACTACGGAAGCCACTTGGTAGCATAGTTGGTTGAGGCACTATGCTACAAGCTGGAAGGTCGAGGGTTCGAGTCCCGATGAGGTCACTGGATTTTTTTCAATTGACCTAATCCTTCCAGCCAGACTATGGCCCTGGGGTCGACTCAGCCTCTAACTGAAATGAGTACCAGGAATATTCTTGAAATATTCTTGAGGGTAAAGGGTGGCCCAAGCATTGGGCTGACAACCCTGCGGCCATCTATGAGCCAATTGTCTAGAAAATGTGGGAACCTCAACATCTGACAACCCTATGGGCCTCCACGTTCTGTTACAAGGATACCTTTACTTTTTTTTTTTTTGCTATTTTTTAAGTATTTTTCTTAGTCCTGGTTATTCCATAGACTTCACACGGTAGCGTAGTGGTTGAGGGACTATGCTACAAGCAAGAAGGTCACGGGTTAAAGTCCTGATGAGGTCATTGGATTTTTTTCAGTTGACCTAATCCTTCCAGCCACACTAGGCCCAACGGAGTGAAGCACGGCCGGCGTGTAAGGCTGACAACCTTACCCCCATCTTTGAGCCGATTGTCTAGATAGTGTGGGACCCTCAACATCTCACAACTCTATGGGCCTTCATGGCCTTGTACAGGGATAGCTTTACCCCCCCCTTTTTTTACTACCTGAATTAAGTTCACATACCATACTTTGGGGACCACCGTTCTGGGTGAAGTGTTGTTCTTTGAGTATTTCTTCACTGAATTGGAATTTTTTTCAGTGTCTAATCTTATTCAAAATTCAAGATTCATAAAATATTAAAATGCATTTTCATTCATGAGAAATGTGTGTTTTACAAAACAATTTGTATTCCTTTCATGAAATGGGGAATACAAGAGTAATTGAAAACCATGGTAACGAAAGTAAACATTCTAGAATTGTGACTAGAACTACAGGATTAACATAAACATGATTGCATTTCAATAAGAAATGTGCTAAGATGGTACAGACCGCCTCTGTGGACTAGAGGTCAGTGTTCCTGGCTAAAGATCCAGAGGTCGGGGTTTGATTCCCAGCCCTACTAGAATTTCTGAGAAGTAGTGGGTCTGGAATGGGGTCCACTCGGCCTCATGAGGATAATTGAGGAGCTATTTCGAGGAAATAGCAGCTCCGATCTAGAAAATCGAAATTAACAACCATGGGTATTCATTGTGCTGGCCGTGCTACACCCTCTATCCGCTAAATTTGTCACTAACTTCGCCGACAAGCAGCAGTCACTCTGTCACTATAGTTCACTTTCAGACTAAAAGCATGGAGTTTATTTTATTTGCTAAAATGGTACATAAATATAATGTTTTTCTTCCATCCACTGCCTTTATTTGATGGATTGAAGTAGGATGTATGATTTTGTTTCATTACCCTCTAAGTTTGGATAGATCCTTCTGAATCACATTTGATTCATGCACCATAGTTCTCTTCTTTAGATGCTCTAAAAGGGCTTACTGTGCTGCTGTATCTCTGTGGTTGATTATTATATGAACACTTGATATACGTACTGGACAACTGGATTTGTATTCCATTTTGTAGTGAACTCGAGTAATTGTAGTGGACGTAGATTCTTCTTATATAACCTTGGTACAGACCACAAAAAAGACCGCTTCCAGCATTTCTTCTACTGTTGCATGCCTGTCCACCTCCATGGGAGCCTGTTTTGGTTGCTGTGGAAATGTGTTTACTGGCCATTGCCAAACAGTGGATTCCTTTTCATTGTAAACTTTTCTGGCTTTCAGCCGTCATGCCACAATAAATTGAATTAACTACATTACTTATTATAGCAAATTTTTGTCATCTTGAAGCTACTTTATGTTGTTCTTAGCATAACTTCTCTCACTGCTGTGCATTGGCCAATGTCAGCTGCTGTACTCATAAACTGCAGGGTGGCCAAAAAGTCATAGTACCCCTAATGAACTTATCATATATCCCATAGTACACTGTGAAACTCAGAATAGGTGTATGGCAGCACTGTCAGTTGTGTATGCTTGAAAGGCAGAGTTAAAATGTTATTGTGACTGGCTGATACAAGCAGCTATTTAGTTGAAGAGGTGTTAACAGCAAGTGTGTGGGTGCATGAGGTACCGCACAAGCCAAACAGTGGCCTAAGTGGTGACAGCATTCTGCAAATGATTTAACAAAGCATAACTTCAAAAAGCAATGTTGATAGACTGGGAGAAGTCTGCATTATCCCTTCAAAGTGTTAAGGATTGAATGCAGAGTGGATGAAGGAAAATGCATTTGATCATGTGTGCAGCTGTTTTTCCTTCGGTTGATTGTTCCTCCCAGAAATTGATGCAGATGAAGATCAGTGCAGCTTGATGTGGATTGGGCAGCAGAGCAAGATCACATGAAGAAAGCTTCAAATTTGAAATCATATCACCCAAAGTTCACATATGGACTTTCAGATGTTAATGTGAATTGATGCGGTGATACATGTAGTGCACTGCCAGACACTCCCGAATACTGCATCCTACTCACAGGTTCTCCTCACCGATGAATGTGCAATTTGTTGCAGTACCCACAACAGAAATGTTGTGTTTTCGGCTAAAGAGTTCTGTGTTTCACAGTGGAGTTGTAACGTAACCTGCCACATGTGATACTGTGGGCTGGTATGTGCACAAATGTTTGAGGTGCAGTTAATATCACAGCTTAGAGACAGAGGAATTATGGAAGATGTGTGGCTGCAGTGTGATGGAGTACCTGCACATTTCATCATCATTGTGCACAGTGTTTTGAACAAACAATGTTTGGGCCACTGGATTGGCTGTGGGTCACCAGCATGTCCCATCCCATTATCATAGTCATCACATAATCCTAATTTCACCACATGAGACAACTCTTTCTGGGGCATTATGAAGGGAGAAGTGGCCCCTCACAGCTGTCACAGCAGTGAGAACTTGTGCAGACTTGTGGAATAGGTATTCTCCAACATTACACCACAAATGCTTCAGTGCTCACTTTAAGAATTGAAATCAGTAGGTTACCACATACAGGTGTCCAGATGAGAGGTATCCAAAATAAAGTAATTATATCTCAGAAAGCATTTATTATACACAGTTATGGGTTACACCATTACAATGCACCATAGCTCAAGCGGTTAGTCACTGATTTCCCATCATGGCTGCCCGGGTTCGATCCCGGGAAACTATAAAAATGTCTCTCTGGGTATATAACTTTGTTAGTAAATTTCACTGTGTGCTTCCTTGATGCCATGACAAATATGCAAATGATACTCATTCCATGTTGCTTGAAGCATATTTGGTGTTACTGTAGCCACAGCGTCCCTTATGCAGGTTTCAGGTGTTGAAGGTCGTTGATCTTAACCTGGTAGACAATGTTCTTCACATAACCCCACAAGAAAAAATCCATTGGAATTAAATCTGGTAACCTAGGAAGCAGAGTGATTGGTCAACTGCTGCTGATCCATCTCCCAGCCATCTCTCTGCCCAGGTGATTCCTAACATGGTGTAAAAAATGTGACAGCACCCCATCTTGTTGAAGGATAGTTTGAGGTGGTAATTGGGGCAGCACATATCCACCATACCCAAGTACAAATGGCGGCATCACAGTCTTTTCTGAAAAGAACGGTCCAATCTGCTTGTTGTGCATTAAGCTGGCCCACACCTTCACTTTGGTGCTTCCTCTCTCCAGTTCACATGTGACATGGATTCTGACTGCCCCAAATCCTGCAGTTGTACCTGTTTATAACTCCATTGACATGGCACATCGCCTCATCTGAGAAGCACACTTGGCGTGTCTATCCTTTGTAACATGTCCAGAGCAAAGTTTGTGTGTGCTACTTGGTCACTCAGTTTTAGTGCAAGAATCATTTGAATCTTGTACACTCTTAGGTGGAGCCTTTTTCGTAGCACATCGTATACTGTTGGACGTGGAATTTGTATGTAACTGCAAGCTAGCAGCACAAATTGATTTGCACAGACTTCACTTGAGTGCCTTTCTAATGCAATTGTACATTTTCTTCAGGGGGCTGTGTCTTTCCAACAGATTGTACACATGAAAGACTACCTGTAGCCCTCAGTTTGTTGTCTCAGAACCGAATGCTTTTCTGTATAGGAGGTTGATGTCCATGTTGCATTCTAAAACAGTGCAGCTGTAAGAGATGGTAACTCTGCCAGCCACAACATGCAATGAACCTGTTCCTGTGGTGTTGACATCATTGCTGAGCTCACAGGTCACCAGCTGGCACATGTGCATAAGCCGGGTGTGAAAAAAGAGCTTTCAGAGTTTTCTTTTCCAATAACATAAACCAAATACATGAATGATAATTACTTTCTGAGATATAAATTCTTTATTTTGTGTACCTATCATTCAGACACCTTGTATTTATTGAGCACTAGGCACTGTGGAGTGCTGCACTAGTTGTGTGTTAAGTTATTTTCTTTTTGTATAAGAATTTTATACTATTCTTTATACATAATGTTTGAGCTTGAGCTTTATAGAATTAGTAAAGATAATCTGCATGTGAATGAAACATGTATTGACACCTGCAACTCCATATTCAAGACATTATATGAGCTCTATGCCAGATAGCAACACACAGACACCCAGTCATGTTATAAAAGCAGGATTAGGCACACTGAATGCTCATAATATCTACGTACACGGCCCAGTTAACAACAAAACTACTCTGGCAGTGTGGAGGAACCTACAACAAAAGGTACATACATGAGTATAAAAAGTAAACTAACATAAAAAAACACAAAATATAACAAATAATGTATAATAATATATCCTTTACATATTGCAGGTAACAAAACTGGTAATAACACTACATCAACATCCTTGTGATCTGCACAAATGACATGCATTAGTTCAGTTATAAACAACATCAATACTTATAAATCTAACAATAAAATTATGGAAANGCATCAAGAAATTTTATACAATTTTATAAAAAACTTTACATTCCCAGGAAACTGCTGTGTTTGTGAAATGTTCTATTTTGTGTACTATGTATTGTAGCATATAAGTGTACGTACTTTATGTCTAAACAACTTATGTGATGGTGGTTTCCTATTTGTAGTGATGTTTGCCCTCTGAAGGTCCACAGAGACCGAAACATGTAGGGGTGTTAGGTTTTCATGTAGTAAAAAACTTACAGGTCACATTGGACGGAGTGATTTATATTTGTATGGAAACATTATTTACACATCACAAATAATATCCATGCTACAAAGGGAATGCTGCACAAATAAATCCAAAACAAAGAGATAATCGCACAGCTATCTTTTAAACGAATGAACAACAAACACAAGGAAGGCATTTTCAAATTAATTCTTTTTGATTAAATTCAATCTATTTACTTAGGAAATATCACATTCACACGTGCCGCAAAATTTTGACATTCAGTGCAACAGTTTTAGCAAGATAGAAGACGCCTGATGATGGCCAGTATATGGCCAAACATGTAATGAGGAAGAAGGGTGACTAGAAAATAATTAGTTGCAATTAAGATGGAAATATATGCGAAATAAATGATATACAAGGTGGTTTATATATGACTGGGACTGATTTTTTTTTTTAACATAATTGCCAAACACTTACTTGCACATGTCAGTCTTTAACGTACTCCCCTCCGGAGTCAACATATTTCTTCCAACGTTATGGAAGGATCCTGATGCTCTTCTCAAAAAAGGCTTGTGGTTAGCGGCATGTCCACTCCCGAACTGTCTGGATGACGGTGGCGTCGTCCACAAACTGCATGCCTTGCAAGTCTGATTTCAGCCTTCCAAACAGGTAGAAATCACTTGGGGCCAAATAGGGACTGTACGGCGGATGTGTCAGAAGGTTCCATTTCAATTTCCAGAGGGTTTCCACTGTTATTTTGGCTGTATGGGGGCGTGCATTGCCTTGAAGGAAGGGTACGTGCTTTCCACCTGCCTTCCGCTTGGATCCGACCTTTTCCTTCACATCTGTTGCCAGGAGGTCTGAGTAATAAGCTGCATTGACTGTTCTGGCATCTCTCAGAAAGTCTACATGGATAACCCCCTGCCAGTCCCAGAAGAACATTGCTATCACTTTTACTGCTGAACGGCTCCTCTGCATTCTCTTGGGTTTGGGAGAACTGGTATGCCGCCACTCGCGTGATGATTGCTGGGACTCAGGAATGAAGTAGTGCACCCACATTTCATCAGTGGTCACTATAGACTTCAAAAATGCATCACCATCGCCTTCAAACTGCTGTAGGAGACGACTGGCAGCTTGCATGTGCACCATTTTTTCACGTCCATCAAAGTGCGTGGTACCCACCGAGCATTCACCTTGCGATAGTGCAGGTGGTATTTCACGATGTCGTCTACACTACCAACACTGATGGACAGCATTGCTCCAAGTTCCTTGATAGTGATGCGCCAATTCTCATGAGTAAGGGTGTCTGCACGATCAATGTTTGGCTCAGTGACGGATGTTCACGGCCGACAATCACGCGGTTCATTCTCCACACACTCTCTGCACTCTCTGAAGCGCTTACACCACTGAAACACCTGGGTCCGTGAGAGAGAGACTTCCCCATACTGTTGTTGGAGTCTGTGGTGAATTTCACCAGATGGGATGTTTTCTCCGAGGAATTTGATCACAATGTGTTATTCCACATTCCGTGATACCTTCTGTTCGCTCATCACTCTAGTAACTCCCAGACAGGACTGAACAGGTTCTAACCCGAACAGGAAGGAGGGTGGAGGTTGTGGCTTCACTCTCTCTCTAAAAATTTCAAATATTGATGTCTGCACATGTTTCTTCTTTGGCCTTTTCTCATCATAGATTCCTTTATAGCAATGAATTGCATTGTTTATCATTCAGCGAATTGTAAGGCTACGTTCAATATTGGGATCAACTTCCATAATGTGCTCTGACAAGGTTTCAACCATTCCAATAATTTGTTATTGTTATTCAGCTGTTAATTCTCATGCATGCACTTCAACACAGTCGTCGTCGTCTAAGTTGTCCTCCCATTCTTCATAAGCCTGTTGTTCATTTCTGTTAATAAGTGTTTCATTATCTAGTTCATTAGTGTTCGATTTGATGCACTCAATTACGTTGACAGAATCTAACTCATTGAAACATGGTTGCTGTCCAATTTCCACTATGTTATTAGTGACTTCAGCAAAATGAGTTTCAAAACCAATGAAATCATTTGCACAATGTGGTATGATATGTTTCCATACTGCCCTCTTATTGCTTGCCGTTAATTCATGCCAGGCTTCACCTATATTTTCGATAACGTTTCTGATGTAGCTCTTCCAAAATTCCGTTAAAGTAGTGCTCTCCCACCTCCTCTACTGATAGCTGTCAGAGCTCAAGAACGAACGACCCAAGCATAGGTACATTGATATACAGTGGGGAACCCCAGAAAAAAGAAATTGACCCCAGAAAAAAGAAATTGAAATATGTATCATATCGCATAACTTTAAAACCACACAAAAAGAGACTAGACTGTCTGAAGGGAATATACCGATCATTTATGTATTAAAAATAATTTTGTGTAATAATTTTTTGAGAATTTATTTTTATTTTGCTCAATTAAAATTTAGTTTGTTTTGAAATTTCCAATCTGGACTGATCGGAGCCGGGCTATGCGAGGTATTGCTCTATGTATATGTATTAATCTTATGTTCTTTTGTTGTATGCATGTGTGTGGCTAGAAACACTACACTGTAAGTGCACTTACAGTACCAGTGGGCATATATAATACTCTATCTGGAAATTTATATAAAATTTGCTATGAAATATCACACTTCCATCCATACACAGAGCGCTTTTCTGATCAGTTAGTGTGTACCCTAAGATTCTTCAATTTTTGGGTGACATTTGGTCTAGGACCAGTTTTGTTTATACTGTTTTGAAATTAACTGTAAGATGAAAATCCTGAGTAAAATCAACTCAACTCTCAGATTCCCTAGGCAGAACTGACAGACTCCAGTGTGTGAAACTGCCATACATTCCTTCATGGTTTGGAGCCCAGACATAGAAGCAGCATTGCATTCTTGCTTTACATGTATGTGGATTTCCAATAATTGATTGCATAGATTAATTATGATTAAATTGAAGGTATTTTTGTTTATAGGTCTTGAACAACATAGAATTATACCTGCAAGAAGAAGAGAGGCGAATGATAAAGCAAGACCAAGAATGTAAGTAAATGTTTGTTAAATTAATGTCATTTTGCAAAAGCCAAAGGAAACTCCTTTATGTGAGAAGTAACTACTTTAGGAGTTATTTTGGTGATTTAAGTTTAAGCAGGTTGTTGTGGGTATTGGTAATATTCTGGCGTATAGATCATTGCTAGGCAGTGACCACGAAACAGAGAACTAAGCAAAAGCTTCATAAAAACACAACATTACTGGAGCCATTTCTAGCATTGGTCTGCGCATCACAATTGAAGTACTGTAGGAAGCAGTGTTTTCTATAGGTCTGCTCCTGGGCTATATCACTTGACGAGCCAAGTTGAATTAGTTACCCCATGTGGAGGCGGGGTCGAATACCTCCACCGTAACCCTGCAAGTCATAGGAGGCAACAAAAATGGAAGTCTCAAAGGTGACAGTAAAATATGGTCGCAAGTCCCAAGGGACTAGGACCCGAGAAACATTGCACTGGCAAGGGCCAGCAGCATATACAAAAGACAGACCCATCCTCTCGTCAGAGAGGGTAGCCCACAGAAATAAGACTGCAACTGTCAAGAAGTAATAAATATCTGGTCATGAGCCCCAGGAGGGTGCTCGATACTAAGACTTACAGATCGTCAGTCGCAATATGACTTTGACTTGAATTAGTTAGTGCAGTGCAGTTGAATACAGTGGAGTGAAGTGAGTTGGTTGGTGAGCAGTCAGGCAGTTAAGAGGACTTCTGCAGTTCAGATGTCATGAGCGCTGTTGTTAGAATCTGTTAGCTGAGGCACAAGGATAGTTTGGGAACACAGTAAGGGGAACATCCACTTTGGAAGCCACTACCATGCAACAACCGGTAAAAACACAGGAAACTGAGAAGACTTAGTTTGTACTTTAGTGAACTTCAGAGCAGGATGCCTCTAAGGAAGACACCATGGTGGAAACTATCAGAGCACTTGTGGACTGATATGGGGACCAGCATCTAGCCATAGGTAGCCACCGACAGCCAAAGAAACAGACCCATGGCAATAGTGGGTCCCAGCGGAAATTGGCCTCGCCTGAGGACAGTTGACTTGTGCCATTCCTACACCATGCGAGGGACACAGTCATCAGAGACCAGGCTGGGTCAGTGCTGTACAAGGAGCCATGAGGCCTAGGAGTGCAGCTGTGTCTAGAAAGCAAGAGGGCATTCAGCAAGACCGTCAGGCAAACTTATGGACTGCAGGTTATGAAGCAAGCAGTTGAGATTTCCATCTTGTTTTGGGAAGTGAGTGACTGGACCTTGTGGAGGGGTCAGCCCCCTCTGAAACAAAAGAAGAAACCACTATCAGGTTAAGAGCCAGAGATGTAGGAGCATCAGCCACTCTCAGAACTTCTGCTTGCACCAACCAGAAAGGAAGCTTGGGTCGAGGTTAATGGTGGTACACCTGGACCGGCTTGGGCCTTAATCAAGGAGCCTTAAGGAGGGTGCAGCAGGAGCAGTTGGAGAATAATCACCACAAAATGTGAGCAAAAAAGAAGGAAGGCAAGACCAATCACTGATGTCACAAGCACAGCCCCTGGAAAAGAAGAAATAGCAGATGTCTGTAGGCTGTTTGGGAGAGCAGTGTGGCATATAGACCCACTGCTAGGCACCAACTGCAAAACAATGAGACCCCAACTTTGTAAATCCTCAGTATTGCTGGAGTTGTTGCTAGGCAGTGGCCTGCACGCAGCAGTGGATTTACTGTTGGTGAGTGGTGTTTTCTGTTGGGTCTACTCAAATGTTATATCACTCGACTGAGCAGGTTGAGTTAGTGCAGTGTAGTTGACCACAGTGAAGTAAAGTGAGTTGGTTGGTGAGTAGTCACGAGTGCTGCACTTCTGTTGTGATGCATTGCTGTTAGAAGCTGGTATCTGAGGCATGGGGATAGTATAGGAACCCAGAGTATGGGGAACATCCACCATTGGAAGCTACTACCAGGCAATGATTGGTGAGGACACAGCATCCTGAGAAGACTTAGTGCATGCTGTAGTGAACTTCAGGTGTGTGAATTGGTGATAGTGCTATGGTTACTTGTATTTACGGTCTGTAAGTGTTCAGTAAATCCAATTAGCAATCTAAACCCTGTCTATAGTTACTCATACACATGACAATATTTTGTTGTGGGCACATGAAGTGTAGTTAGTGTATTTCATGAAATGTGATGCAAAAATTTTTTTCCTCTTCAAACACGCATGTAGAATGTTTAGTAAAACTGTGTCAAGAGCTATATCTGAAAGCAACAGGATAACCTAAGTGGACACTTAACTGGCCTGTGTAGGTAACATGAGGGCAGTACACTTATATTACTGCTTGAATTCACGTCTCCCTGAGTAGCATAACACATATTTGAGTAGACTGTCTCTGTATATGCCTCCTATTTTATATGAAGGGCTGGTCACGGTAGCCGAGCAGTCTAAGGCATGCACTGTCTTCGCTCACTCAGAAGCCGGGATCATGGGTTCAAATCCCACTCAGGACATGGATGTTTGTGTGTGTATTTCTGTGTTTGTCTACAGGTAGAGGCCTTGCGACGAGCTGATCACTCGCCCAAGGAGTCCTACCGTGTGTGTAAGATCTAGAAAAACTGAAGTGAACGGAGTTCATGGAGGTAGGCCTAGGCCCACTGGGCTGTAGTGCCAAGGGAAATATTTTATATGAAGTGTATTTAGAAAAAAATAATATGGCCATTTGTGGTGGTGGAGTATATTTATGCCTGAAGCCATTACTCACCTCAGTAGTAGACACTGCTAGGAAGTTAAAGAGGAGTATATTAGATATGAATTGAAACTCCACTGGAAGACATATTTTTGCAGAAGGTTTGTGTAGAATGGTGTGAACTTGTTTTAATTTGTCCCCCGAGACTAGTTAGCATCATTATTTCTTAGGCATGAAAGTGCTTTATTCAGTTACAGATCTATTCTTTCCTGACATTCCCTTAATTAGTGATGCAGTACTCATGAGTTCTTTAGCAGTGATGTTATAACCTAAATATATATGAATTGCATTGCCTTCTGTGTGAGTGTGCATGTGTAAGACAAACCTGTAAATGTTTATTTCTTCTAAATAATTCCATTCCAAGTTTTATTTCTTCCAATAAAGGATGGCTTTGTCTGGAATTAGCCTGTATCAAATAGGATTCCTCTATTAATATTTCAGTTTACTGTTCATTTCAGTGGGCAGTTCTCTGGGTTTTGTATATATGTAGTTTGTATGGGGGAGAAATGTATCAAATGATGGAAATCATAAAAGGTGGAAAATTTTGTAGATAATGGTGGTTAGATTTACCATGTCAAATTCTTACTATATCTAAAATTGATTTCATTGAAGGACAAAATATTGATATGTTTGTGGTCTGGATTTTCAGTTTGTCTTGTTTAATTTCCCGATAATTGTGTTTCTTTTTGTATATATTTTTCCCTTTGTCTTGTGTACTAGACCATTAAAATATGAGATATCTCCAGAATGCCAAAGCATCCTAATGCATTAAAGAGACATTGTACCTTTCCCAAGATTATTCAGTCTTTTATATTGAAAGTAGGATAGCCATAGCTCTAGAAATTTACATTGGATTTCTGTTGATGTGGAAGCTTAAGGAGGTAGTCAGAAATTTGTGGTTTTTGGACTTTGTCCATCATCCAGTAGTCCAGTGTTCATTCGAAAGAACTCAAACCTATGACAGCTGTCAAGCAATCAATAACTTCCTGTGACACTCTGATGTAGCTAGAACATCTTGCAAGCACAACATACAGGTTTCCATTGGTGACTGGTGACGCCTATAGATGTCATGGCCATTATGATAGACAGTACCACATGAACCACTTGACTGGTTCATTAGTATCAGTGAGGTATATAGACCTCATAAAATGAAACTCTGCAGGCAGAATGTGACACTTGATTACCCATCAACTAATTTTAATCATGAACTAATAAATTTCAGGGGCCAAATTATCAAAACAGGAGAATCTGAAGGAAATGGGGGATGTATCATCAGGAATGGCAAGCACAGTTATTCAGTTGTACCTGAAAGAAATTCTTGAGTCTTTTCTTCATCCAAATGTTGGTGTTCGGCAAGCGGCCCTCAAAGTTATCCAACTGATCTTACAGCAGGGTTTGGTTCATCCTGTACAGGTAAGATTTAGGCAAGTGTGAATGTCTTGCATTGCAGACTTCTGGTTTGCATGCTGAACAGTAACCATTTGTCTGCTTGTAAACACTATAGTCATAGGTACAAGAGTTTTATTTTCTGTGTCCTGTCATATCATGTAGAAGCAAAAATTGTACTGAGTCCTTGATCTGAGGCATTGTAAAGTCTTATATAAAAAGATCTTAATAACTGAATATAAGAGTGGCATATTACTTTGAATCCCTGCAGACAGGGTCTTCTTTGAGATTCTGAGAGTCACTTGGCTGATCACTAAGTTCTCCAAATGGTCGTTAACATACTCACAAGAACCTTCCACTAAATTCTGTCTTGACCAGTTGAATCCTTTCCACAGTACATGCTCTTTATTTCCAATTAATGTTAATTTCACTCTCCAAATCTTTTCCTTTCACCTTCACATTTTGTGCCTTATAAGTTTCCGTTTTCAGCTGCTTTTACTACGTGTCTCATCTTCACTCAGTATTTAATTTTCTCCAGCCGCCTCTGGTTTAACTCTTGTTTAAATATTCTTCTAAGCACTTTGTTCTCAAACACTCCCAGCTCACAAGCATAAATCATTAAATATATCTTCTCCTTAGTTTTATAATAATTTGTTAGGTTGAAAAATGTTATGCTTCTCTTAATAGGTGGTGTTTCCATTGTTGTCAGTCTTCATACAGCTGGTTTTCTCATGTTGACTCCTTCTAAAATCATTTCTGATATGGTCCCTTCTTGAAGAGCCTGCCAGTGGCCTAAGAAATTTCACTTATTCAACCTTGAATATTTTTCTTTTTACCAAAGTATATTTTTGGATCCAAACATTAATGTCAGTTTAGCTGTGATTTTGTGGGACTTAAGTTGTATAATGTTAGGCATGTTCTTTCCAGAATGTCTTCTTATGGTTTCACTTAGCTTACAAAAGTTACTGATTATATTACCCATTTGTAAGTCTCCCATGTTAGATATTGTGTAGGCAAGGTAGCTTAATGTTTGTGCCTGCTCAATAATTTGACCATCTGTTAGAATCTTTGATGTTATAACTTCTTCCCTTTCATTGTTATGGATTTTGTCTAAGCAACAGACATAGTTGTGCCAACCCACCCAGGTACACATAGTACTGCATGGTGGTAGTTCACAGTGGTGACTCGAGTACGTAAAAAATTCTTCACCACTCTAATTGGAGAAATTATTCGGGCAAATCATTCTGGCAGTCCTGCACAGTCAAATCATTCAGATGCACACAGATACTGTACAATGGCAGTTAACAGTGACAACTGTTCATTGCCCTCATTGACAAAGTAATTCAGGTGTATCATATCAACACCACCATGCATCCAACCCACCCTCATAAGTGTAGGCACTTCATGGTGGCAGTTTGCAACCGTGGATGTGAGTAAGTTTGAAAACTATTTCCAACTGGCATCAAAGAAGTGATATGATGTAGGTACACCTGTTGTATGGTTTTGGCAAACCGATTTACATGAATCATTACTTCAGTGAGAGTAGTGACAAGTTTTTAAATCACTCATAGTCATCGTGTTCTTACACTACTCAGCTCATACATGGATCTTGGTAAGCTGGCTGTTCAGCATTGCCAAACTGATGTGCCTGAGTCATTTCTTCAGTGAGAGCGGCAACTAGCTTTACAACCTTCTCATAGCCAACGTTGTGAACTGCCACTGTACACCTGGGTCAATTGAAGGTGCAGTGTTGCTGAACTGATTAACCTCAGTCTCTTTGTCATTGGAAACTGTAGTCATCTTTTAACGTATTCACAACTGCTGTTGTGTACTGTCATTGTGCAGTGTCTGTGTGCACCTGGGTATATTTGCTGTACAGTATTGCCAGACTAATTCAGCTTTATAATTTCTTCGACATGATGTAGGCTTCTGTTGCTGTGTCTCACCGTCAGATGTTTTCACAATTAGCACCACACTTTCTATGCCATTAAGTCACATGGGAACATGATACCACAATTTCACCAATAACGTCAGTAAGCTATTGATGAATTTTGGCTGAAGTTTGACCACTTTATGATTTCTACTCAAGACCGGTTTTCTAATCCACTCTACAATGCCTTTGCATGTTTAGATGATTTAATTGCATTATTGTCATACACTAATGTTGCTGCTCATTTTGTATGTTCTACATTTCTTGCTAATTAATGACAGACCTTGTAACCTTAACTTCCACTCACACTTGTATATAAAGCCTTAAGTGGCATAATTTATAGGATATTGTGTAACATTTTATGATTTATTATACTGTAGATTGATGGATCCTACAGTAAGTCAGCTTATAATTTATGGCTAACAAATATGATGGTAAGTTAAAGTCTTTCCTTGTGTGAAATTTCTTGTTTCCTATAGCCACTTTGAATTCTTGATTCCAGGTCCATAGCCAGTATTTTATTTTATTCTTCTTTGTGCCTTTGTGCCTAGGCTTTTGTAATGTAGTTTTTTATGTGTTATCCCATTATCTTTCCCCATCAGTTGTAACTTTTGAAGCAAATGTACCTTATATTGAGGGTTTTCTTCTCAGCAGTTTGTTTTCAGACACTCACAGTCTTCCTTCATCTCTTACAGTGAGAGATAAAGTTTGTAAATTTTAATTTTCCAGATAAAAGGAAGGTTACATGTCCACATGTTTCACCTTCAAAACTAAAATGGACTTTGCTAGCATGTGGTATTGAGATTTTACACTAGCTGAATTTCATTTTGGTTTCTTCTGGCCCAGAGGGAGCTCATGTTGAAATATTCTGAGTTTTAAATTCATCCAGTTTGGATCACACTAAGGTGGAAATTGTACTTCCCAGTAACCACAAAATAGTTATGGAAGTTACGTGTGTTATGTTATATGTGTGTCTGCAGACTTGCACATGCTGTTTCTTTAGATTGGAGTGTAATTTTTTGTGTGTTGTTTATATTGCAGATTGTGCCATACCTGATATGCATGAGTACAGATGTGGAGAAAGTTGTAAGTCATAGTGCTGACAAACAGCTACAAGATATTGAGAAAAAGTATCCAGGTTTTATTCATATGAAGTCCCAGTCAGGGATCAGACTGTCTTACAAACTGCAGAAAATTCTACAGTCAGATAGTTCAGGGATTGTCCGTGGCTACAGGGTCCGGGAGGGGGAGTTTCCTGGTGCCCTGAATGGATTTCTGTACTCAATTTTGAGAAACACAAAGCAACAAAGGAGAGCTCTAGTTTTGTCAGTCCTCAAGCAGTTTGATGAACAAGTGGTAAGTTACAAGATTTACTAGAGTTTACGTATTTGCAGTGATGAATGGATGAGGGGTGGGCCATAATAATCTGGCCCATACACCGCGACCATCAATGTTCTGTTGTGCTGTATTTGCAGTGATGTCAAGTCATGTTGGTTGTTACTTGAATTAACCCAGCTTGCTTGCACAACCACTTTTCCTTTTTCATTTCAGAACCTCAGATGTGGAATTAAAATCCCAAATTATGTTATTACTGTACCTTCAGTTCACAATAAACTGTACATTGAAAGATTTGGATAATATATCACCAGTCATGAGGAATCACTATACGTATTTGTGTACCGTGAGAACCTCTTTTCTGATACTGACTTTGAAGGGGAGCAGGGTGCACATTCTATGAGGGGATTGTCATTTTTTAACACATAGCTTGACATTCAAGTATTGATGATGATTCATTGCATTCGAGTATGGTGCATGTAGTAATGCACATCCAATTTTCATTTTCAGTTGTGTGCCACTTCAGGTAGTACGTAGATATTTAATGTTTGTAGTCATGTGAATGTTGCCTCAGTGTGTCAGTTGAGTTACAAGCCAGTTCACAAACAGAAGGGTATTCGGTATGTGTAGTGAAACTAATGCTTTTATGGGAATCAGTTGAGTCCTTATTGGCTGCAGTAACATACATGAAACAGTAAGGAATAAGGGCGTCTTAGTATAAAGTTGTTGTACATATGCTTAGATGAGAGACCAAGATGTTCCTGAGAAACTAAAGACGTTATAATGAATGTTAAATATGAGGGCTCTTCAGAAATTTACCTCCAGTGAGCTGTTAACAAAACAAGCGGTGAGAGTAGAATTTTATTCTTTTGTAGCGTGGATGGCCAGAACTTTTCTAGACAGTGACCTGTAAACAAACTTTCAATCGTGTTAGTTCACCCAACAATAGGATGAATGTTAATAGTTCATTCATAGGCAACAGTCACCGCACCATTAGGCTGGTGAGATGACTGTCACGTGACTTGCTTTCTATGGGATCAGCGCCAAGATTGCTGCTATGCAACATCATGGTAAACCCTCCTTTACAACAATGTAGGCTATTTTCAATGCGTGGTCAGTGTGGAGGCTATATCACAACAGTTAGAGGCAGAACAGATGGCAGTGTTTCAGAGTGTTTTAATTGTTTGAATGTTAGAGTGATAGAGAGTTCTCAGTGGAAGATAACCATGGAAAGTTTGTCGTGTGAAGACTTGTGATTAGAAGACTTAAATTATGTGTAATAGTTGGAGTGATTTGAAATGCTAGTTTCTCTGTTGAGATCCATTATGAAGAGAGGACTGGTGTGTATGTGAGACAGTGAATTATGAAGTGTGTGTAAATCAGCAGTAGCGCTTTATTTAAATGTGAATAAGAGAGGGTGTAGCCAAAGTGCTAATAAATCCATCCAAACTAGAACCTGTCATTTCGTCATGCGTACTATCATACATGTGACAGTATACGAAAAAATATGTACAAACTTAAGCTACTGATCAACATAGTCACCGCCAGAATTTAGGCACTTGTCATATTAAGAAATAAGTTTTTTATACTTGTATCAAAGAAGTCTGCCACCTGTGAGGTCAGCCACATTTTGGCACCTTCCATCAACTTCTCATTATTACTGAAGCACTGTGATTCGAACCAGTTCTTCAGGCGGTAGTCACTCAGAGCAAGATCAGAGCTCTAAGGAGGGTGGTCAAATAACTGCCAAAAGAAATGCTCCAGCAGTGCTCAGGTACAAGCAGTTGTACTCACATTGTCATGGAGGAGCACTATACTGGATGTCAGAATCCATAACTTTCGTCCTCAGTGGCCCTATGCAATTCTTTTACTGTTTCACATGCAGTACACTTCTAATGTTTTTGCGGTTTATTGTGGGATGAATTCCACCATCAGCACTTCTTCCCTCTCCCAGAAAACAGCTTCCATCAGCTTTCTTGTAAGCAACTTTTGTTTAAGCTTTTTTGGTGAATGTGTGTACTTTGACTGCTGTTTGTTTTCAACATTCACAAATGAAACCCAGGTTTCATCACATGCTACTTGTACGATATGACTGAGAAATTCATCGCCATCTTTGTGGTATTGTCAAAGAAGATGTCAAAGCCATTCTCTATGTTTTATATGTACCCACAAATATTTTCAGAACTAATGTTGCACAAAACTTGTGATAGCATAGTCTAACTGTGCTATTCTCATAGAGGACAGTATGTGAAATTTGTGGACATTCACACAAAAGTTCTGAAATTGTGAAGTGCTGTCTTTCAAATTTTTAAGTCAGCACTTTGCACAAGATCATCACTCACTCCAAATGGGCAGCTGACCACTTCACTCTTCATCATGAACATTTGTTCAGGCATCTTTAAACATTCCACACCATTATGTTACAGTCCCTTTACTCATTACAGTTTGATCATGAACTGGGCTTAATTTATGATAGATTCCCTTAACACTCACATTTTTAGCTCGAAGAAAACATAACAGCGTGAATTTTGCAGCTGACAGGATTATCAATTACAGGATATGTTGTGACTCACTCTGTAGAGACAAGAACAACACCAGGTGACCAGTTCTGTGATGGTTTACAAGGCACTGAGTCATGCGACACTACCTCACATGAGCCAGCTCTTCCCTGCTCCCACATTAGTTGCCTAAAAATTGGAGGTTACTTTCTGAATAGCCGTCATATGAATACAGTTTGTTTTGTGTAGTTTACAAGTGCTGCTTCTGATTTTGCACTGTTGTAGGTGGTTTTTCAAGTGATGGCAACTTTAACTACTGATGTCAGATATTTTAAACCATTTTACATTTGTTCACAGAATGACACTATTATAAACAATATTACACTAGTATGTCATATTTTTATTGTATATATATTTTTTCCCTTCACACGTTATGCTCATGATTATCTAGTTTAGGGCATATCCATGTGTTTTGGGGGGCTCATTTGCAACCCTGTTGTGCCTATTAAGTTCGTTTTGTCAGTCTGTATGCATGAAGTAACTTGGGAACCACCGAACAGATTGTCATGAACTTTGGTATTGGAGAATTTTGTGAAGGCTTGTCAAGCCACTTCAGTTTTCACTTGTAGCAGACAGTTTGATGACCATTTTCCATGAAAAGATGCATGCTGTTCCATTCATACATCAAGTGTAACTTGCTAGAAAAAAATTCAGACAAAAGTTGTAAAGGGAAATAAAACACATTTTATGTTCAGTGCACTTTTCCCACAAGTGTTATATAAATTTAAACATATCAGACATTATGTATACATTTTCAAATTTCTGTATTCAGGAATCACCACAGATTCCTGATCACACCCAAAACTTCAATTATCCCCCATTTTTGTCTTTTGTGCATGTTTCCCCATCATTGGTATGGATGATAGGAAGTATAATATATTTTCTTAATATATATAGCTAATTCTCCAGGGAATGCATACTTCAAATTTCTGCCTATTTCTTCCCCATGAAATATACTACTTAAAATCAGGACACATGAAGGCATATGATATTTCAAGTTTTAAAACAATCTAAGGCCAAACAGTATCAGAGATTAGTGATTGTGTGGATAAGAACACCTGGTCTTTCAGAACATTTTCACATCTCAGAACACTAATCAGTGTCAGACCCACAGTTTACATATGTTTCTGTACAATGTTGTTATACACCACAGTTCACTACTTTCCCAAAAGTCTGGTGCAATCTCCCATGCCCTGTTCCTACAGTACTAGGTAATAATGCTCATGAACAAGGTTCTTGCATGTTTGTTTTGCAAGATGCGTGACTTTTCTATATATATATATATATGATGTGTTTTTATGTGAGCTGAATGTTAATTAGAAGATATTTTTGTAATATTTGGGGAGGCATTGCCCTCATAAGTTGTTCAAGACTGCCACCCAGCACTTTTCTTTTTCTTGCCTGTTCTGTTGATGCTGTGTTGCAAGGAGAAAGTGATGTGCATAGAAATAGAATTCACTAAATCTCATTATTTTATGTGATATTAAATTTGTTTTCGACATTTTCAGAAAACCAGCCTATCCCAGATGCTTTATCTATCAGACAACTTGGCCTACTTTCCATACCAAGTACAAGATGAACCTCTTTTCATCATTCACCACATAGACATTATGATCTCAGTATCTGGCACTAATCTTCTCCAGTCTTTTCGTGAGGCAAGTATTACAAATCTGATTGTATATTTATTAAAACAAAATTTTAAACCTACAGTTCTTATTTTCTTGTGTTTATGGAATGTACAGTATTAAGAATTCTAATTTGAAAGTTAATTTAGCCTGATGATAGTTGAAAACTTTGGTTTTTGCACCAAAATCAGAATCAAATTATGGCATTTGATGACATGTAATTCATGTATTCCTTGTATTTCCTGTGTGAAACATCTTTCAGGTATGTCATACCTGAGTAAGCAATCTTATAGTAAAAAAGTTCTGTATGTTCAGTGAGATTATCTGTTTGACTGGTCGTGGTCATACCATCTCCTCCCACTATTTATCTTTAGGGCTACATTGTGCTACCTGCTCAACCTACTTAAGATATAGCCTGAAGGGGGAGAAAAAGTGAAGGGGCAGGTGAAGAGGTGGTGAACATGACCAAATAAATTAAGTGTTCCCATCTGTACTAATATTCTAGTAATGACATAGTGATCTACATCACAATTTGATGATAATGCACCCTGAGATGTGTTCTAAGATGCAGTATACATTGCCTAATGAATAAGGTGCAAGGGAGAGTCAATAAATAGGTCACAAATAGATATGAAATATAAAACATGTGATACTTGGACCTGGAAAAAACGTTTCTCAACATACCCTCCACCAACACTGATACACTTATCGCATAGCTTTACCAGTGTGTCAAAATCCGCAGCATGTAAGTCTTTTGACTGTTGTCTCAGCCACGTCCACACCTCCGTTTCAATGTTTCCATTGTCAGCCAAACGTTTGCCCATTTCTCAACACAGTTGTGAACAGCTTTAAGGGACAAACACTTCCCACCATAAACAGGAAACATTTATTAATGAATGTCCCTTGCGTTGAGTCCTTCTGCCTTCACAGAATGCTGCACTGTTCAAGTGCAGTCACCATTTTGACTGCGGAAACCAACCTCTTAACATGCATGAGCGCATCTGCTACCTGGTCTGTGCTGCTAATTAGTGATACACATAGAAAACCTATTATATACATTACAGCTGTTTTAGTTCCCTTTGTGACTCATTTACTAACTCTCCCTCTTATTATTTTTAGTTGCTTTTAATTCACCATATAAAAAACCAAGATTTGTCTTTACCTGTTTGTCTTAATGTTCTTCTGAGACATAGTATCCTGTCCCATGTTAGGTGGGTCCCATTTCACCATGGCATGGTGCGTCCCCACATTGCAGCTAGAGGACGTGGCCTCCAGATATGGAGTGTAGCTGCAAATATATTGAATAAGCAGTCTCAGACAGCTGACAAAGGGTGGTCCTCCAGCTTGGGGGTTGGGCCTGGGGCTACTACCTCAGCACCATTAAAAAAAAAAAAGCTTTTTACAAAAGATCACAAGAAGCCTCAAACCTGGATCGATTCCTTGGATAAAAGGCCCAAACAAAAAAATGGATATGAGATTTGGCACTTGGAATGTTGGAAGGATGTATAGGGCATGTTTGCTCAGGGCAGTGGTGGAAGAGATCTCAAGATATAAGTTAGATTTAGCGGGTGTACAGGAGGTCAGATGGGATAGAAGTGACATCAGATCAGAAGGTGAATATACATTTTTCTATGGAAAAGAGAATGAGAATCATGAATTAGTTATAGGCTTCTTCATACAAAAGAGAATCATATCAGCAGTTAAGAGGGTAGAGTTTGTTAGTGATAGGATGTCATACATAATACAAGAGGTTGCTGGTGTGATATCACTGTTCTGAATATTCATGACCCAGCAGAGGATAAAATTCATGATATGAAGGAGAGCATCTATGTGGAACAAGAACGTGTATTTCATGAATTCCGTAAACAGCAGATGAAAATCTTGGTAGAAGATTTCACTGCCAAACTAAGTATGAAAGACATTTTCAAACCAACAATTTGGATTGAGAGTTTACACAAAATTAATAATAATTATTGTAATAGGCTAGAAAGCAGACTCATGAGATCACCTTGTTGCTGTTTTTTATATGTATCCCCCACCCCATTCCAGAATGACCCCTATCATTGCTAGGCAACAGCTCAGTATACATGTTCACACAGTAATGAATACACACTTTTGTCACATCATTTACTGTGTGATGCATGTCATATGAAAGGAAAGTAGGTGATTAGTTCTTCGGAGAACTTCTTGTTATAAAAGTGAATAAGCAGGGAACAGATTTGAGTGTAACATAAAAATTATGTCATTTAGACAGGTAGAACAAATTTAACTTTAACAGCATCATCTAAGCGAAGTGGCTGCTAAGTTAGGAAAACCTCTGTCATCTTCATCAGAACTTTGACACATTGGACATTATAGAATTAGTGAAAGCAGGAAAAAGAAGAATGAAAGGGAAAGTCAGACCCTTGATGAAGCATTGCCAGATTGGTCAACAGGCAGGTTAGTCAACATCATCATCAGCTGCAGCATTCTTATACAGAAAGGCAGTGACTTTGGTGAAGAATTAAAAGAATAATAATTCTGTCTTCTGGGATATAACTCTGAAGTCCAGTGAAAACCAACCAGCATTTTGGAGGAATATATTTCATCTCTCTTCAGGGTCAGAGAACAAGCCAAGCAAGAAGTAAACATGAAGCAGATAACTGACAAAGTGAATGAAGTGCAGAAAGCCTAGGATGCATATAGGTTAGGAATGGAGTTGCTATCCATTGGCTCTCCCCAAGAATTGCATTGAACCGGTGTTAGACAAAGAGGAGTAATTAGCCCAGGTCCTGAAAAGGGCTGCTTTTGCCACTTTCAGGCATGAGAATACAAAGAACTCATAAGTTTGTGTGCCAGGCAGAGAAATGCATAGGGATGCTGTATGTACCTAGTGTTCTGTGTCATAGGTTACCCTTGATTGGGTGAAATAAGGTAGAGATATTCATTGGGGGGAGGTCAACCAACATGTTATGCTGGGTCAGTCCCTTCCAGTATGGTTGAAGGTCAACCTGACACAAAGTAGGAAAGTAACGGAATCCAGATTGTCATTGGGTAGAGCAGCCCTCTCAAGAGGATTGAGAGGCCTCCAAATGTGCCTGTCACTATAGCCATTCTGCTGAATGTTACCTTTAGAAACTCCAGTCCAAGTTCTAGTTGCAAAGAGCTATGGCCTTATGCATAACGTGGAAAATATGGCATGCTTGTTGAGTGCTAGTGGGAACCAGAGTCAACATGGGGGTTACGGTGGGTAAGTTTACAGTATACCTTATGGCCCAGAGAGCCATGAGGTCTCCTGTAAATACCTGCTTCAGGGCAGGAAAGGTGGCCATCTCTCTCTGTCTCCAAGGTGAAGTGAATTCTCTCATGGACACAGTTCATGTAGTTGAAGTAGTAGTTAAGTTTATGTAGCCTTGAGGTCAGGTGAGAAATGTGTCATCCACCTAATAGAAGCAGCAGAGGATCTTGTGGATTGCTCGATCAAACTCCACCTCCCCAGAGTCCTCTGTGAAGAAGTTGGTCACAGGAGACAGAGGAGACTTGTTGGCTTGCAAGTTGACTCCTGACTCACATAGGTCCCAGGTTTTCTACACGTTGTTTGCCCTGCATGCTGCCTTCTTCTTGCTGGTTTTTTAACAGCAGTGCACCTTCTGAAATGTCTGTTTACTTTCACTGTACTGCATGGCATTTTCCAGAAAATATAATTTCATAACCATTGCTATGGGAACCTGAAAATCAACATAATTAAATGAAGAGTTTAGAGTGACAAGTATATAAAGTGTGAGATAGAAGGAGAGATACTTCATAAGAAAAACTCTGTGGAGAAAATTAAATTTTGATGGGTCTGCCAATTGACAACAGGCCGAAAACTGTGGTAAACTGTCGAATAATTATAGCCCAGAAGATAATGGCATGTAGACCCATTGCTAAGTAATGACTCTAAACAACACCCATTGGTAGGCAGTAGGTCCCTAACAAGCAACAGTTGAGGTATTAAAATAAAATAAACGTGGATGTAAACAAAAAATTGTGAGCATTATTTCTGAAATGACCTATGTAGTTCATCATTTATTTTAATTGTCCAGGAGCCATTATGATTTCTTGATGGCCTGAAGATCTTTCTTAGAATTCTCCTTTCAAAGACTGAAGGTCTATGTTTAATGGCTTCTTAGAGTGTCCAGGTTTCGCAGGTATAGGTTACTGTTGGTCACATGACCATCTGGTATAATCTTAATTTGGCTGTTTTAGAAATAAGTTTACTTCTAAGCAGTGTTAAATGTGCAGCATATGCTTTATTTCCACTTGCTAGCCTCTCTTCAATCTCTTGTTCAATTGTGTTATCTGCATTAATTATAGACCCTAAATATTTATAACGAGAAACTTGTTCTATATTTACATCACTGCATCTGAGATCTTGGAATGTTTGAGGTTTGTTGGAACAGTTAGAACAATTTAGTTTATTAATGTAAGTTTTGAGGTTTTCACGGCGATGACTATGAAGAAAGTCGTCTTTCTTCAATTTAGTTTATTGTTCATTGACTAACAGCCCATACTTTTGTGAGGCTTTTTCAAGCTCTTCGAGTGTGTTAATCAATGTTTGTTTGGTTCTCGCAGTAATGAGTATGTCATCGTCATATGCACAACACTGTGGAAATGTTACCTCAAACGTCTGGACTTTTTATGGTCTCATGTATAACCAGTATGAAAAGTGATGCAGAATATGGGTCACCCTGTTTCACTCCACAGCTTATTTGGAATCCTTCGCTAAGCTCCCCACTTATTTTAACTTTTTATGCTATGGAGATTTGCTGCTATTAGTCTGATTAATTTGGAAGGAACATTGTAGTTTTTGAGGCAGTATAATATTTGACACCTCTTAACAGAATCTTGTGTATAGTCTACAAATATGTTGTAAATATCAATATTAAACTCTCAGCATTTTTCTAACTATAAATATGTTATCTATTTTTGATCTGTTTGGCCTGAATCCCATTTGGCAGTTATCCAGTTTACTTTCTATAGTAGCTACCAGAGTATTGTTCAGTAGAATT